TGAAAAACATGTATATTTACCACCAAATATAACCAGGAAAACACGAATATTTACATTAACGCAATGCCTCACCACAGTTAACTTGACAGCATGCAATGACACATAACTCGCATTAACTCTACATGGCACACTGGTTTATGATGATAGTCACACCATTACGATGTCTTGAGTATGTCTGATGACGACTTATGAAGTGTTATTCAAGCATTAATGAATGGAATTCGACTATTCTTCTGTAGGTATACTGTACAATCGTATACTATTAGGCCGGGAATGTTTGTTTTGCTTCAAGTAATAAATCGTTAAGCAAACGGAATTCATACATCATACTATGGCTCGAATGTTACTTTACGGAAAGAGTAGATTTTTGGTAGCAATTGCACGTCAAATTAAATGTTTTTCTACAGCTACAAGATATATTATGTAGCTTATTTTTTCACTATCAAAATGGTCAATTCAATAAACTATCCATAGATCGAAAATTTCTACCGTTTCGTCCTACTACTAATGGAATTATTTAACTACGAACGAAATAAGGAAAATATAATGTTGAAGATAAAACTAGGTTTGGAAAATTCCTTATCGTAATCCTCAAGTGGGGGAGTAGTTATATTTTTAAAGTTTTACCAAACTTAACTTTAACTTCTTTTCTTTTGTTTTCTAGCGCGGTGGGAAATAGAAAGCAAACTCAAGAAAACTCGGGTAACTTCGGAAGACAAACGAAGATCTGTTAAACAATCACGTCGCAGACGGATGTCAATATTTGTCGACAACTTGACAGAGCTTTCTGCGGCGAGTTGTAAAGTAATGCTGTCAACAGCAACAGGTGTGCAGCGGCGGCCACTTGTTGAATTTTAACTGTCTTTGGACAACTTACTATGAGGGTGGTTATGTTAGGAGGTTGAGGAGTTGTTGAAAGACGAAGAATCTTATGCATTTTCAAAGTTAAAACACATTATCGGATGTGCTGAAGCTATATACAGGATGACTTTCACCCAATGACGAAATAAATGTCATAAAATTAAAATAATAAAATCGAAGGTTTTTAAAAATAAAATTATGATTTTATACGGTTGAATTCCTTGTGAAGGAAATAAAAAAGTGTACACGAAGTGTGTATTATTTTATTAATACGTTACACTCGTGTCAAACTATCTTATCGATAGTAAAATTAGCCTAGTTTATTAGGATTTGTTAAAACTGTAGTTAAAAGAAATCGGTTTAAATCAAGTAAAATACCATATAACGTTTTTCTAAAAATTGCGAAATTAGAGGCCCTACATTAAGGACCTATTGCATTTATTTTGTACCCAATAATTATTTAGAAGTTGGTATAACACTGGTCGATCAATCTGTAAAATATGTTTAGTCAAGAAATCTGCCAAAGTCTGTGGTACACCGCGTGTAAAGTACTCCGTAAAACAACAGCAAAAAGCGAGTTGGAGATTGAAAAGAAATGTTGTCATTGTTTCTCAAAAGAAGCGCAGCAAAACCTGAATGCCTTTGACAGATGGAACTTGTATCTTCATCGCACTTACATGGATACAGGGATGCTTGTAACTTTAATCAGTAACACACTATGTTGGTTTTATTTTTGTGGCCATCTCCAATATGGTTATGTTAAAGTTGTAGATTTGACTCTGCTTTGCAATGCGACATGAATTTATAAAACTAACTTCTTCAAAACCTTACACAATGCACATGAACCATGTAGTACAGTGCTATACGCATAAAAATATACGTATTTAGATCAAACCAATGAAATCAATATAGACGAAATAAATCCAACAGGTTTTAAATATTTTTACTGCCCAAGGGTTTTTAAACATAAATACTAAATCTGATTTGGGCCAATCACTTGTGTTACTGAAATGAAATAAAAATATAAACCTAGTTTAAAATTGTTAAGTCGTTGGCTCAGTTGGTAGCGTTACGGACTTCGGGTCCAATGCAGATATGTCACTGGGTTCGGATCCTAATCACTGCCACAAACATTGATCAGTACAGTTCACCTTTGTACTGTATCGGCTCACCCCTTTCTTTGCATACGTTCCACGCACAGATCTGTAGTCTATGTCATAGACTACAGATCTGTGGACGGGCAAATGCAAGGTTAAAAGAGGCCACACTTGGATTAATTAAAATTATCTAAATATTTGTCCGTTATCTAGTGTCGTAACATCTGTTATTTGAACTTTGTGTAACACTCTTCCCTTTAAGCAACTGCTCAACCTCCTGATATAACCCCCTGCCCACATTATAAGCTGTCCAAAGACAGTTAAAATTCAACAAGTGGCCGCCGCTGCACACCTGTTGCTGTTGACAGCATTTCTTTACAACTCGCCGCAGAAAGCTCTGTCAAGTTGTCGACAAATATTGACATCCGTCTGCGACGTGATTGTTTAACAGATCTTCGTTTGTCTTCCGAAGTTTCCCAAGTTTTCTACTTTTTCCAACTTATCGAAGTTTACTCTGCTTCCCACCGCACCAAGTTTTCTGGCGAAAGTTTGATGGAGTGTGATCATTTTGTTAATGACTTTTAAATCGTACTAGCCTATCTTTCACGTGGGATTTTCACCATTAATAAAGGAAGCAAATTTGTTTTAATTTATATAAGCGCTTTATATACACGTTCTTCAGTAATAACTTTAACTTATTTGTTAAGTCTATGATTGAGACACGAAAAAATAGCCATACAATTCCAGAGTGTGGCAACACAAAGATTCAATTCATTGTTTTATTTGATTTATATTTACCCTCTTTGAGTTATATTTGGAGCAACTCTTACTATATGATATTAGCTGATATGTAGCTTAATAATTGTTAAAGATGTTTACGATTATTGGTTTTCTTAGGAACAGTTAAAAAGACCAAATTCGAAAGATGCTCTTACGAAAAGTTAGACTAGGTTGGTGCAAACTTTTCAACAATACTTCCGTGGTGAAAACCTCGCCTAAGACAAAGTTATTTTCAAACCCTAAATATTTGTATTGGTACCTATTTAATGAAAATTAATTTATCCGAAACCCTCTTCTTTATCTTGGAAGTTTATTTTTGCAGAGACAGAAGTAGAAATGTAACCTTGTGGTTCAAAAGTGTTGTTGTAAGACTTTAACGTCGCGGTACAGTATATATCCCTTGATCAATACTTATTACCACGTTTTAGGAAATCGTTGTTTACGCGGAATACCTACGTAAGTTCTAATCGTCTGCGGTTGTAAATCATTCACGATATTGTCGTCTTATCATTTTATGAACGCTGCAATAAGTGTCAATATAACACGTCATACTTGATATGGTGTGTTTCAATATTACAATAACAGTATAACAGTGATTATAGAAGTACTGAATGTTTAGACTGTGCATAATTTCAGTACAAACTACCAATCCAGTGCTACACGTGGTTCAGGTTTTTATCAAGAGGGGGTTTTTAAATGCAACACACTATTTGACTGAATTTCTTGCAATTAAAACTATTGTTGTTTTGGAAATAAGTTAATTCAGTATTTAACAGTTTTTAACTGGCTCTGTCCAACGGGTCCTAAAGATCACCAAGATATTCTTATGAACACTAAATTTACTAGGAAATATAAAATATATAATATCTTGAACCCTGCTTAGGTTTCTAACCAACTGTGTGATAATAGAGTTCTTTTTAGCATGGGTTTATGAGGTGATGAACCTAAATGGCTTAATGAGTTCAAAAACTCTAATGGATAGCCTACATAAAAGCGTTCTACGTCCCTTGGTAAAGAACCGAATAAAACTGAGGTATACAGTAAACCAATTCCTGTCGGTAACAAATACGACACAACATAACCATTCATTGAAACCTGTATTAAAGAAAGGAATATGGAATTCTTAAATATACATAGAATGGTTGGTGGTTGGTAGGTATGTCAAAATGAAGGCTATCCCGCAAATAAAGGGTAATTATCCCTTAATTAAAGGGCAATTAAAGGGTAAAAGCTAAAGAATCCATGCGGTACTTACTTTTGAGTAGTTCTTGTTTAGACTTCAAGTAGTGTGATTTCATCTCCAGGGTTATTTATTGTAGAAAGCACAGACTAAGTTTGTTATGGATGAAGTAAAAACAAATTACTCGGATTTGAAAAGTAAATATTCGTTTGTTTTGTTTAATTTAATTCACAAGTTTCAGCTGATCGAATAACGTAAACATTTCTGCAGAATGATAAAAACGAGAGGTCGTCCAGTGGTCGAAACTCGACCAAAAATATGTAATGTACTCACTTCTCTATTTTCACCCCACACTGTAAATAAAACATGTGATTGGAGTTTCTTCCATTTGTTTTGATTTCCTGTTTATATTTCGTTGTTATTTCGTCACCAGCATGGCAACGCATAAGATCCATGTTAATTTTTTCAAATCTTTAAACTCATTTTTTGTGCTTATCTTTGAGCCTATTTAAATTTATAAAGGGATTCTGCACACCTACAGGAAAATAGCTTTCTAACGGTATGCGTAGATTTTCCCTACGATGCACACGAGCTGAGAAAAAAGGTTTTAAAGAAACATGCTTGCCTATTAATATATAGATAGATAGATCGTTACGACAAACTACTGAAAATGAGTGATTTGTATACTTTTATGATGTAGTGGGTAAAAAGAGCTTTAAAATTACACCTAGTTTTTCGTAATTTCTGAAGAATTAAGGAAGATATGGATGGTGTTTGGACAAAAAAGTACTTAAGAAATAATATATAGTTTTTTTATCGGCGCTTCCTAACCGAACAAATTTCAAACTCTTGATGGGAATTTTGAAGTGTTATTGGTTGGGTTTCGAATATTCGAACAATTACTTATAGTCACATAGGTATAATAAAATAAAACCGTACTTTATGTCAAGTTACGCATGATATGACTTTGCTAATGAGCAAAGACTAGATTCCAACATAACAGCGAAAGTTACCATGTAATATCAGGCGAGAATCAGTATATATAAGAGCATCAATTGAGGAATCACCATCACTCACAGCCAGAACCATATCAGCACGATGATGACACAGGTAAATACCCGCTAGGCATTAGAATCGGTAAAATTTGTTTTAGTTTAAACATTGTTAGAACACGTCAATTAATAGTAAAATGACATTTTTTCTCGAGTTTATTGATAAACACCATATTAAAACATGTTCAGATTCAATGCAGGAATTATTAGCGGTTTATGTATGTAACCTATCTTTAATTTAACTAGAAAGGGTCATCACTAAACGGTCTGCATTGTTCTGAGAATTAATTAGTTTTTGGTGGTCGTTGTTGCTTTTTGAGGGAATAAACCTTGAAAAATATAATTCTAAGCTTTGCAACTACTTTCTGTCCTTTTTGTGCTATTTTGGCGTTATTTACGCTTTTGGCATTGTTTACATTTTTTGAAAGGAATTATTATCGAGCGTCGACATTTTCTTAAATAGTGTAATTGATAGCCTAGCTACAAATGGTATCACTGGGCTTGGCAATGATAACGCATGGAATCCAACTAGCAATCATCGGATTTAAAGGTGAGCAATACAACCATTTGGCTACCCAAAGAACTCCGTTGGAAACCATCGGTAATTAGCTCAATTTCTGACAGAATCAAATGCTTTATGTAAAAGAACGTCAAAAACGCTATCAAAACATTACATTTGCTGGAAATTACCAATTTATTTTCACGTCTCTTTCACATGTTCCACAGTTACGTCCATGGTCAGTTTTTAACATATGCATTACTCTTGTTTTAGGTAGTTTTTGTTGCGTCTTTCCTCCTGGTTGTTTCTGCCTTCCCTCAACACGGCTACCATGACCACGGACACGAGCATGTAGGGGACCACGACCACGGGTTCCACGTAGAGTACAAGGAGGACTACTACGACCCTCACCCCAAGTACAAGTTCGAGTACGGTGTCCACGACAGTCACACCGGCGACATCAAGAGCCACAAGGAGGAGCGCGACGGGGATGTGGTGCACGGAAACTACGAGCTGGTGGAGGCGGACGGTTCCAAGCGCGTCGTCCACTACACAGCTGACCACCACACTGGCTTTAACGCCGTCGTCCACCGACAACACAACGTCCATCCTCAACATTACCATCATCATCATGAGCAGCATGCGCCAGCTCATCTATATTCTCATCACTACTAGATTTTACCCGCAATGTTGTTGAAATAAAACCACTATTTGTTCCTTACCACCACTGGTTTTCTTTGAATACGAATGCCATTAGCATATCCCCCATCATGGATACTCATGATCTTATTTAGTTACTTAAGAATGCTTAAATGATAACGGAAGAGCGAGAATACTCGCAACTTGCTAAACTATGTGTTTTAAATGCATAACCGTACATTTTTAATCCAACCAAAATTTGTAAACAAAAACCGTAGGCCTATACAGATTATTTTTAATATGACCATCCAAGCTATATTTAGGCCAAAGTTAAAGAACTTGCCAAACAAATTTAGAAAATATCCAAATTATATGAAAATATGCAGATGCTTAAAGGAACATTTACAAATTTGGTTGATTAGTTTATATCGACAGTTCCTAATTCATCTTCGTTTCTTATAAAATTGGACGAGAATGTATTAAGGCAATTGCAATAAATGTTAGCCAAAAAACTAATAACGAGTTATGAACATAATTACAGAGTAAAATGTATACACTCACTATATAACCTGAACTAAAAATATTCCCACATCTATAACCCCACCCTATAAGAAGTACCCTCGCAGCAGCAAACCTGTGGACTAATTTTGTTTACATTCGTCTAATTGGATTTTTACTCAAATACTTCTTAAAAATATGTCCGATTTATTCCCTAGTGACCTTTGTTTTACCGAGTACTTTGATTTGCTGCTACAAGGAGAAACATTTTTTTATATGATGTCAACAGTATAATATGAAAAAAATAATTTTCCGAATTTGATCAAAATATAAACAGCAACATCAAGAAAACTGCAACAGTTTTCTTCTCCATAAGAATAATATTGGAATTTTAAATGCACCTTTTTTAATTTTCTCCGTAATCTTTAATTAATTGTACACCAACGCTTCAATATGAAAAAGAAATTTTGTTTTTGAGCTCTACACGATGGCAGTAATGAAAATCTAGAATTTTCATGTTTTAAGGGTGAATTTTTGAAGAAAACCATTTTAAAAATTTGAAACCCCTATGACAACCATTTTCCATTACCTAACCTTTTTAGTTAGTGAACTCATTCAAGTTTATCAAGCCTTTCACATTAATGCCAAATTTCATCAAAATAATTACAAAATTGCTCTAATGATAGCGTTCAAGTGCACATATACAACACATACATAACAAGTTGAACGAATAGTGTTTTGGCTCTGGGGACACAAAAATGAAATAGCTAATTCCTTAAAAGCAAATTCGCTAAAAGAAAATTTGTCCCGGGTGTAGGTCTTTACCGTGCCACCTACGGTAATAGGTCCTTCCCTATAGGGGAAATTCGCTAGCAAATCCCAACATTTTTGTAACAATCTTCTTATATTAATACGTTAGGGCTGTTTTGTTTTTTTGTGAACAAAACTCCTCCGTTATTTCTGGACCGATTTTAACGTTTGAGGTGTCAAATGATTCGTCTCAATTCGTAGTTTTGCATTAAGGTTTTAGAGACACTCTCAAAGGTCGCATTTCCCCACAAAAATTACATTGAAAACAAATTTAAAAACAAAAACAGCTGTATATAAAAATTAACTCACCAGCTTTTTGGGAGTAAATATTGATGTTTGTAATATTTAGGAGGTTATAAACAAATCGAAACATTTAATCAGTTTTGTTGGAAGAACAGACAATTTCTTAAATTTAAAGGAGAAATATTTAAAACAGGAGAAGGGGACAATTAATTGGAATTCTTATACTTACGAGAAGAGTAGAAGAGAGGCCCGGTCTCACAGTAAGGAATCCAGGTACACAATAACTTGAGGAGATGAATAATTTTTGCCAGTTATGCTAAGCAACTTATTTTGGAAGTAAAAAAAAAAAAAAACATGAAGAATATACACATCATGTTGTCACAGTGGTAAAGTAAACCTACCTAAAGTCAGATCAAATAAATACATGCAAGAAATGTTTACTGGTAACAGTCGGGAAACATTTTGTAGAAAAAACTAAAAAAAGGCCGGGTCCAAAGAATGCTAAAATATTTTTACAAGAAGCATTTTATTTATTATTTCAAAGCGCTATTAAATAGCGTGAGTATTTCAATTAGTTACATAAGCATTTAGTCGGGCCTTTTAAACTCATCGAAAATTATGACTGTTATTACTGTAGTTTTAAAATAACTTCTGTATAATACCGGTACTTTACAATTGCTCGATTTCGAGCAACAGGTACACTAGAAATATTGAATATTGTAAAAGACAGGAAGATTTTGTTCCCAAAAATAACCACACAATGAAAGCTGAAACGTTATTTACAAATTCCAAGCTGTAGGAGGGGATTTAAGGAATCAGTGCAAGCGACAATGTGTGGAATATATTGTATTGTTGGAACACAACAACTGTGGTGGTAAGCCAGCAAATGTGCAAATCATGGAACCGGAGAACTTCTAATCCTGATATGGAAATATGGCCCACCTCTTATAATTGTGTTTCTGGTATGTAAAATCGCTTTCTTACGGTATATGGAGGGGAACATTCCATCTACAACAATTGTATTATTCTCTCATATTTTATAATACAAAAATATAAAAAATTAAAATTCTGTTATTTATTATTCGTATTTTTTACGTAAGGTGTTAATAGACAGTATATATTCGTATGTATTCGAAAATTTTGCAATTATTTTAGTAGAATCGGTGAGATGTTTGAAGCATATTATATGGACTTGTTGCCATTGACTTAATGATTTTAAAAAGACTAATGATGGGTTATTTGCAAGGACGCAGCCTATAGACTTTGTGAGAGAAAAAATATGTTGCACGAACAATTTTAAATCGATGGTAATTAATTGATCACATTGAGAAATAATTAAGCCTTTGCAACTATATGACTTAAAAGGTGCGGTTGTCTTTGGGTAATACATTATCTTATATATATAAGTGATATAACGATATAACAAATGAAACGGGGATTTTTGCTCAAACTCCTTATTTAATTGTGTACCTCTTTAATTCCTAGCAAGAACACTATTTTAGCCATTTATGGAAAAAAAAAACTATAGTGACAGGACAGAGATAAATAATCAATTCGATTCTGATCTTCCGTGTTCGAGCAAAAGTTACCAAATAATCGTAATTGAAGACAATATAGGCCATTGGCTTATAAACAGCAGTTACAATTTCCTTAGGAACATATTTGTACGGTTTACGTTTTTATTGTCAATCACGTAACTCTATTGTTAACTAAAATGATTACTCTAGAGATATATTTTATGTTTGATGCAATTGACGTACGAATCTATCTTTGTCGTGGTGTACGTGATGCGGAAAACCGTACAAATTGGTTTGCATGAGAGCCTAATAATAGAATAGTTAGTAGGTAATAGAATAGTTTGGTCTCTATTACCTAAAGGGGGAAAAATTAAAAAAAGTCTGATAGGCTACATAAAATATATATATATTTTTTAAATATAGCCTCTGGATCGTTATTGAACATGATTAAATCTAAGGCTTACCTTACGATCCAATTTATTATAGTGGAGACCTAGGTTTCTACGTCGAAACGTTATCGTCAGTCCTTTGTCTCATAGGCTTGCTAAACTTTTTGTTTGCCATCTCTTACTTGAGACAATTATTATACTAAATCGGGAAATTTTCAAATGGTAAGACCTATCGAGTGACCCCTCATTTTGAAGGTCCTGGTAAAAGAAAACCAAAAATGCAAACTAGAGGTCTCTATCTTAATCCAGTAAAAAATGGCAGCCCATTGAAATTCTCAGAAGTTAAATTCAACTTGCATTTTTCCAAGTCTGGAGACCCCCTGTAAATTTTATAACGGTTCACACTGGGTAAACTAAACTTTACACACCTTTATGGCATGTTATGAAGTACTTTTTAAGCCTAATTGCCACTTGATTCCCAAACCCAAAAAGGGGGATTTTGGGGGGAACTCCAAAAGTTTGAAACGTTAAGCCCCATCGAGTGACCCCTCATTTTGAAGGTCCTGATAAAAGGAAACTAACCACGCAAACTAGATGTCTCTATCTTAACACAATAAAATATGGCAGCCAATTGAATATAAAATTGCGACTTACAGTAATTCTGATTTCTAAAGATTTCAATCAGCTGCTATTTTTTACTGTGTTAAGATAGAGACCTCTAGTTTGCATTGTTAGTTTCCTTTTATCAGGACCTTCAAAATGAGGGGTCACTCGATGTGGCTTAACGTTTCAAACTTTTGGAGTTCCCCCCAAAATCTCCCATTTTGGGTTTGGGAATCAAGTGGCAATTAGGCTTAAAAAGTACATCATAACATGCCGTAAAGGTGTGTAGAGTTTAGTTTTCCTAGTGTGAACCGTTACAAAATTTACAGGGGGTCTTCAGACTTGGAAAGCTGCAAGTTGATTTTAACTTCTGAGAATTTCAATGGGCTGCCATTTTTTACTGGATTAAGATAGAAACCTCTAGTTTGCATTTTTGGTTTTCTTTTACCAGGACCTTCAAAATGAGAGGTCACTTGATGGGTCTTACCATTTGAAAAGTTTAAAAGTTTCCCCCAAAATCCTCTATTTTGGGGATGTACACCAAGTGGCAGTTAAACCCAAAAAGTACTTCATAACATGCCATAAAGGTGTGCCGAGTTTAGTTCCTCTAGTAAGGACCGTTACAAAATTAAAAGGGGGTCTCCTCTATATATATCAAATAAAAAAGAATATAAAAAAGGGTACTCATGTTATTTTATATATTGTTTATTTAATATATATATATACATTTGAACAAATGGTGCTTTTGGCCTCTGGGGACATCAAAATTAATGAAAAAGTAAATCGGTCCAGGGCCTAAGTCTTACCGTGCCACCTACGGTAATAGCTACTTCCCTATAGGGAAATTCACTAATATATAATCTGAGTAATTGTCATACATTATACGCCTAAAAATGTGTGAGGCCGTACTTTCATTCACTAACAGATACATTCGATAACTCACAGTGAGTATTTTGAATTAGTGTTACGAGTGTAACTCGATACGAAATTTCGTTAACCGTACTGCTAACCCCCTAGCGCTTGTAGTTCGTCGAATCTCACCTGCGAGCGCTAGTGTTACATTCAAAATTACATCGATAAGAATTAATTCAATTCTACATAATTTCCTCCATCCCTCGTATCTAACATGTACAAAGTTAGAAACTTGAAACAAGCTATTCCATAACGATGTCAAACGTGTATGCTTGAGTTGTTACTTTTTTCCATGTCAACAGTATACTTGCAAAATTATTGACATCGACATTAAATGAAATTTTAAAGCATTCAAAACCCAATCGAGAAAATAAGTATATAGTTGTGTCATAAAATTAGGAAGTAGTTAAAACGTGAATGATGAATTTTTATTTACTAGAAACATAGTATATATCAAAAGATATTTATCAGTTAAATATTCTTTGGCGTGTTTTTTCGGTCAGCTGATCATGAGACATTCCGTTGTCGTTGCTTACTGCAGCCGACCCGACTGTCAGTTCGTATCCGTCGTGTTTGTTTGTGTTCGGTTCGGTTTCGCGTTCGTGTATATTTAGGAATTTTCGTCGCGTTTTATTAAAGGATCAATGAAAAATAAATTGCCTGGATAAGTATGCACATCGGTTGTGATGTCACGAAATGTATTCACGATGGAAACTAAACAGGAGATATACTCATCGTGGGTACAATATACAACTAAGGTAACCTCAAATTTTATTTTGCTGAATGTAAACATACCACTTCAGCATTGAATTAGGCTACATAAATAAATTATTAACAAACCATAAAATATTTCTTCCAGCAAATGAAATTGTAGAATGTTCTAGTTAATATGCTCCATTTAAATTTTGTTCTTATACTGAACTCAATTATGCCATATTGATGGTCATTGTACATAATTGTCATATTTTAAAACAAACTAAAACTCAATAATATAAGTATTCTATATTCTATTTTACCATACTGTTACTTCAAAAGAACCACAATCTCACTACATAAGCATAAGTAATTGAACCTATTAATAATCTAGGTTCTTGTCAAATTTTGAAGAACAACATTAAATATTTTGAAATAGGCCTACTGTATTAAATTATATGGCAATGTCATACATACTTCAGGAGATGGGTGCATACAATGTTTCACAATCAATAAAGTCTCTCATGTAGCCTACAGTGAGAATACCTAATCAAGTGCAGTTTGAACAAATTATCAATTTTGTTTAGTGTAGGCTTCTTTGTTGAGGCGAACTTAAGACCTCATGGTCCTTTCTTACAGTTAACCTCTATATAATAATAATCGTAATAATAATAATAAATGCAATATGTCAAGAACAAAAGTAAAATACCTATAATGTAACATAAAAAAACCAGGGTATGTCTAGTTGAGAACCTTTAAAAACTTTTTAAATTTTCAGAATGAAGAAAGTCATTTTCGACATTTTATCCGAGGATTTGTCGCTATCTGGGAAGCTCAGTTGGAACTAGATTGGTCTAGCGATGGCAACGGCCTCCCAGACGCAACGTCAGTCAAAGACGACTTTGGACCTCACCTTTCCCGGCTCCCAGAGGAACTTTTGCCAGCCATTGGCAAGTTCATGTTCATTGCTAAAGACAATTCTGAGCAGGTATGTATGAATCTAAAGATACAGTACCTAGATTAGTTAATCTTAAACTTATAGGCTAATACATGTTTCTGTACCAAATATGCCTAATGTCGGTTGGCATCAAAACTACACATTTTACTCAAAAGTAACAATATAACTTAGGCCTAGTAAATGGTTTGGTAGCCTCTTTTTTCCTGCTATTGCCTGAACATAATTTAACAAATACCTGTAGAACTACGGTACCTATGTGGCAAAGGAAGGGAAGTAATCCTACTGTATCACACAGAGTTGAACACATTAAAGTGGCATCACAGTTAAATGTTAACTTAAAAAAAACCATAGTTTCTTATTTTATGTGAAACTAACTTACCTAGATTATCGGGCCTACTGATAAAGCTCTAGTGTCTTTGAATAGGCTACTACTGTAGGTCGCTTAACATTTAGAAAAACATCACCTAATTTTTGCACTACCTACTTTTACAAAATTGTCAGTGTACCGCACAATTACATTTAAGCTGCATTATACGTTTACTAATAACTAAAATATCTATTGTAGTCTACTCTAAGAACTTTTCACTGTAACTTCAAAATTATTTTACTTTTTTGTAGGATATTCTACTCAGAGAGGGCATCGTAGAAGTAGATCTTTTGATTCGCTGTTTGACAGCAATTAGCAGGAATTTCGACAACATCCCGCTTATAGCATCCTGTGACTTTGTGAGCCATGCAGTCGTTATTGCCAACAATATTATACATAAGGTAAATGAGAATAAATCTTTCTGTAAAGTTTAAGACACACTTTTTTAAACTGCTAATTGCAAGCTCAAAGATATTTCATGATAGTGAAACAAAATCTATCAAAGTTTAGGCTTATTTTTTAACTGCATTGCTGAAGTTGAGTACTGTAATACATTTTGAAATCTGATTCACAGCTCTTGGCATTTTAAAATCAAATGCCCAAATCAGGGATGCACGAGTCCCAACATTAAGAAAATAAGGAATTATTTATCTGTGGTAGGGATTACATTCAAATTCAGGATTTTCTTGGGATATGATTTGTTCCATAGTCAGTGATGAGAGATGATCACAATTATGTTGCAATAATTGCAGACAATGTCTCTCCAATTGTAGGAGATGTTGAGGATTTTGCCTCTCATGCCTCTAGTTGTAAAAACTAAATTCAAGACTTAACTTATCAACTGAGTTTTAGTTATAATTAATTTGATTTCTTAACTTCCCTTTAGCTCGTCAATGGAGAATATGAGTTTGCCACTGAAGGTGAAGCGTTTTGCACCAACCTGTGCCATTTCCTGGAGTGCCTCTATGATCCTTATTTTACTTGGAGACATTTCCAAAAAGGACCTCCAAGCATGGATAAACTTGTCTTTCATCCAGCCCTGTTGCACAACGAAGTCATTCCCTTTGTTTATGGCAAGTATCTGATTTCTGATTGCCAATAATAACTATTATGTTGAATAATTGTGTTGTGGTAGTCAAAGGCGATGCAACAGCAACTATTTTCAATTATGATTCTCTGAGTAGCCGAGTGGATAGGCTATAGTACTTGCCTTCAAAACTCAAGGTGGCTGGTTTGATTCCAAGCGAGATTGTTACTGGACAAAGATGCCTTTTGTTATTGGGCTATTAATTAATGATAATATCAAATAAAAATGTGAACTTTAGATTATAACAAGACCAGGAATTGGACTGGCATATATACACATAATATTAATAATCTCACTTGATACCATCCTGTGTTGTGTGTCTTCTTCTCTCCATTTGGCAATTTTAAACTGTTTTCAACTAATACTGATAGCCTACAACAAGAGGTTAAATAACTAGCTATATCAAAACTTTCACCATGTCTTATGATTGTGTTTGATTTAAATTGTAAGATAAATCTTTTAATATTTGTTGCATTAGTGTTCATGTTCTGTTTTGTATTGTTACTTTTCACAGATTTGATGATAAATGTAGAAAAGTAGACCACATTTTTAAATTTTAGCCTAAAAATTATTTTATGAGAGATTGCAATTTACAACTAGTTTCTGCTGAAACAACTTCGATTGCTTGGTCCTAGGAATTTGAACGAATACTAGGCCTAACTTTTTTCTAGTGCAACTTCAAGGAAGGATATATTTTTTGCCTTCCCTGATAGTAAAATTTTTATGAGGCTCTATAAAATTGATTGGAGTTATTTATCTATACTTCTATCTATACTATTATATAAAAATCTAATGGTGTCTGTCTGTATGTGTGTTACTAATAGGTGCAAAAACTACTGAACAAACTGGGCTAAAATTTTACAAAAATATAGTTACCATACCAAGGACCATTATAGGACTATTCACGTTTCGATACTGACCGTAGGCTTTGTCCCTTTGGCTTTAAAGGTCAAGAGGTGAAGATTTTAAAAGTAAATATTGATTGGTCTCCATAGCTGCGATGAGATCACTAACAACGTTTGTTTACATTTGCTTTGACATTTAAATGTAAACAAGAAGAACTGCTAAACTGCAAATTTCACTATTTCAGACAGCTGATACAAAGAAATTAAATATAATATTTTCCATAACTTTGAGGTAGGTTTATTTTAATCTAACCTTTTATCATGGATTATTTATTCTAAAACTATGTCAATGATTATATAATAAAAGATTCTATAACCGTTGCTGTATTAACTCCGGCTCTGTATTGGATTTTTTTAAGCGTCTAAGTTATGAAAATAATGTTATTAATAATATGATTTCATGGAAACAGTATGAAAATTACAATGTATAGATATTTTATATGAATTTGGAGGCTACTTTAAATAAATTCTAACTCCTTAACATGTGTTAGATTAACTTAACATAACTTGCACATCACATTGTTTTTTATATGTATATTTAGGTAAATTAAGTTATTGTGTTTTGCTAAACCTATGCATGAATTAAACTAAAGAATATCATCAATAACTAAATTGTACTGTACGTCATTGATTTTTGTTTTTTTTTAATCTGTTGTATATGTGTAACCATAATTAATTATCAAATGGTAATACAAAATACTCTTATTTTATCTTAACATAGCTTTCAGTTCACATTTACTTTATTTGATACATTTATTATTTGTGTTTTGCCACACCACTGATTAAATTAAACCAAGGAAAATATCACAAAACTAAGCAGTACACAGTGTTCTTTTGTTTCTAAAATCAATGAAATATCTGTTACTAGACTTTATGGTAAGTGTGAAAATGTAAAGCCAATGGACGATGGAACTGATTAAAAGAACTGGTTTGTATATTAAGTTGTTTGTTGATATTTTTGTAGAGTAGAATCAGAGATGCAATGAAACATATACTGTATTTGCTGTTAAATTGTTTAGTCCTTGATGCTTTGATAATCATATTAGTTTCGTCTGCTGTCTTAATGCTAAATTATTTGTTTGAAATTTTTTATAGTACCTATAGATATAGTTTCTTTAATATTTCAAAAGACTGTATTGAAAAGGCATAGCAATATTTCTAAAGTTTATAACAGCTGACTTAGTTTTGCTAATGATTTATTGTGAGTGAAGAAACTGAAGATAGAAGGATTTGTGATTTAATATGTATAAAGAAGAGTGAAATAAAAAAAATGTTCATTTAAATTTAATAATTAGTAGTAACTTCAAAATTGAAATTTAAAATGTCAATAATAAATAAAAAGATATGTTATTAAGGGAGATGAAATGGTGGTATCCACTACTTACCAGATTTAAAAGTCATAACTTAAACGTTTCTATTAAGGCCATAAAAGTTGAATTTTGTTTCTAAAAGCGTTGGGGGATGTGTAACTACTATATGCAACAGATGTAAAAATTAAAATGTTTCTATTTTGTGTCCTCTTCCCGTTGCAAAGCAAGGGTACAACAACTAGTATTTTTTATTTTGCCAACTCTTACAGTTTGAAGAGTTAATGATTCAACCTTTATTATTGCGGCGAGTGTTGATTAGAAAAGATTAGCTGTGACTAGTTTATCTGATAACAGTGATGATAAAAATGTTGAACAGAGTTGCAAAGCATAACCAATAAAAGTCTTTTAAGTTACCGCATTGAAACTGTATAAAATAGTTCCAGATCCTTTCAACATTGATATTGAACAAAAATATTTTATACTGAAGGAAATAAGTACTTATCTGTTGTAGTTTACTCTTTGTGCACACTAATAATTACTTAGATAATGGAACTTATTTAAAGGTTTAAAAATGGCTTGATGAGCGTAGTGATGAAAAAGTTTGAATCACATTTTAGAATTGAAAGGTTATCATCAGAAATAATAACCTGCTGGTCCTGCTGTCGAAATAAAAATACTTTGCCAACATCATAATTCAAAACTCAGAGCAATTCTTCCTATTCAAAACTCTTGTTTAAATATGGTCTCTGACCAAATACATTGTGAATACAAAATACAGAACAGATAAATTATACCTACACAACAAAATAATATCTGGTAAAATGTTGATTGATGATGCTCAGAGATAAATTTCAGCTTACATTAGGCAAGCTATTGACAAGAGTTCTATTCCGCTACCACATGTTGCTGTTTAGCCACTTTCCCTGTGTGTCACGTTTAAGTTTGGAGATCTTAAATTCCATAAATAACGTGAAAATATCATGATTGCCAAATAGTAATTAGTGACTATTTAAAGAAATTGGTAACTACTTCCAAAGCTGGAGTTTTGAGGCCAGATCAGTGACGTCATCACACAAATTGTTAGTACGGTACTTAATTTCAGTAATTTTTGTGAGTAAGTTCTCAAGGAACGTGAGGTCATTATCCTCCTCCATTAAAATGAACACTACAAAGAAACATAATATTCAACAGTTCCATGTTGCACATTGAGCAATGATTCCATACTACACCAAAAGCAGAAAAATGCTTAGTTCTGATTAAAAATGGGCCAAAATATGGGCAAAACCAACAGAACTCACAATAAACAGTCACAATTTCCCTTGACTGTGGTTAACTAACACTAGAGTAATGTTGTTAACAAATTGGCAACATGTATGGGTGTTACATTTCAACATTTTTGTTCCTAATAGGACCCAAATTTGGAATACAATATAGTTTTCTGAATATACCTAGACAAATTTCTAAACTGAACTATTGGATGAGGATCAAGACCGTTAATACACAGTGCTTGTTGGATACCTTTTACTTATAATTAGGAATCTAACTACTAGGCCTACCATAAACATGTCAGTGTGTTCAATTTTCTCCTGCAAAAAAGACCTTTTAGAACCGTATAGAAGTTTGGTTAATTTATTTTAAAACCTTTTCAGATTGCTTTGAAACCAATATCGTCACCCAGTATCCTGATCTTAGTAGAGAAATGCTCAGTGTTCTTGGAGCGGTCGTTTGTGGAGCTCAGGTAAGATTTAGTTCTTTTCATATTACCCGAAACATGTCAGTGTTGTTGGGAAATATTGGCAAAATATGTATGTTGTCTTCTGACACTTAAGGGTTATATTTACTGTACTAGTTTTTGTTAAGGAGAAAGGTAGAATGGCAGTTACAGCAGAACTGAGGATCAAGATACCCCTGAAGAAGCAATATCAGTTAAATTGTGTTTCTTATCTGTGTTTTTTTAAACTCCTTGGACTCCTTTCTCCTTAAGAGTCCTTGAAGGCTAAAGGCGATCTTGGATAATTTCAAACAGCTGCTGAAGATTTAATTATCATCCAAAAATAGTTTTTCAAACATCAAAGTGATTATAATTTAAATATCTTGTACACTATGAGATTAAAAAATAATTGTCTTTGTTGTTTTGAATTGATTTCCAAGGGATTTCATGGAAGCCAACGGCCATCTTGGATTTTCCCGCCATAAGAGCAATGATGATAATTTGGTTATTTTTAAACAGCCGCTGAATAGTTATTTACCATCTGAAAATATGTTTTCAAATACCAAAGTGATTGTAATTTAAATATATGTATAGTATACTGCAAGATTAAACATTTTCTTTGTATTTTTAAAATTGTTTTATGAGTTAGAACGCCTCTAGGCTCCAAGGACTCATTAACAAATTCAAAAGCCAAGCTCCTTTTTTCCCTTCAAAAATATTTGCTAGTTTATTTTGGTAATCTAACCTGGGTTTGGGCTAAAATAACAACAAATTCATTGGTATATAATATTACAATTACCAAAATTGTTAAATATTTTAAATTTTCATGCAACAAGTTACCATTATTACAGTTCTTTGAGACAACGATGTCTGACACTTCTGCATTTCAAGCTGAATTTGAGTAAGAAGATGAGTGCTGAACAAAGCTAAATGTCTTGTCTATATTAATTGATCACTATTGGTCACCAGCTGTTCCTGATCATTGCACTTTAAATAAATGATCCTGGCGAATGAAACAGCTGATCTTAGTCAGTAACACAACTACACCGATCATCACACTTCATTCTACACTCATCCTTCACTCATATTAGGGGTTAAAATACACACCTATGGAGTCTCCATCCCAATTGGTAATGCAATTGCCTTGTATGGTCATTGAAGTTCAATGTCAGCTGGGTCCAGTTTCAAACCCTGGAAGAGCACCAGTGTTGCACAAATGAATATTTTGATAATTCGACCAAATAACCAAAATGAGGTATGAGGGTATCTAATCAATTCCGCTTGTTAAAAGTAACAGTTTTAAGCTAATAAACTCAGTAGACTTTGAATTGTTGTAAGTAACAATAAAAAATTAGCTAACAGAACTAGAAATCTAACAATTTAACTACCTATTATACTCATTGAACAGTCAAAGCTTCTATTAGTGCATTTCATAATGCTGCTAACATGATAGTTATAAAATCCATATTTTTAGCCCCTGAGCTGTAACGTAACTAAAAATATGCGTTACCTTCGTCAATACAGCGAAGAAAATTACGATTAAAATATACTAAACGAACAGGCCTGTCGTACAAACTGTGCTGGTTGACATTTTCCCGTACCGAAAAAGACGCTGACTGCACTTTTGTTCATTTTACTCACATAAAATTTTTGTTTGTGTGTGTTATGTGTTTTAACTTCAACGGCGCTACTTCAGTCGAGATTTCGTGTCTGATGATGGCATTGGCCATAACCAACGCAGTTTCACCATTTGGGCTGTATTGGCAAAGGTAAAGCCTATTTTAAATGATAGTTTTGTTGTATTGCTCTACATTTCTAGATTTTTATTTTGCAGAATACTCTAATAAATGAAACAGATGGTTCAGATGGAAAAACTGACAATGAGAGGGTGAGACAAAGTAACTGCATGAGTGAATGATTGCGCTTTTCAGAATCTTTAGTTTTGAACAAATCTGCTTGTAATGAATGCTTGTACAGTTATAGCGTTTTAGTGTTCCCTGTGGTAAACATAGTTTATTCTGGTTGTGTTCATGTATTTTTCAAGTTTGCCATTTTTGTGATTTAAAATGTTGAAACAGTTTTCAGTACATTTGTTGATACATCCCACCTTCAATATAAAGTGAGTTTTTATAATGAATAGTTAAATCTCAATTTCATTAGTAGGCTATCTTGTGAATATTTCTGCTTGATGTATTTGTTTTTGAGTTGATTTATAAACATTTTCAGGATATAAGATGACAGCATTTCAGTTCTTCGTCAATCTACAAACTTTATCTGAGTCAATACAATAACCGAGAGGACCATGGAAAAAATCACTTTTGATAGAAATTGACGCATCCTCAGCTTTTTAAAAATTTGCATGTTTACTGTATTTTATTTTACCTGCAAACAGAAATATGTATGAACACATAGCTTTGATCAATGCTTGTCAATAATACAACCATTTACATGTATATATTCATTTAAAAGTTAGAACTAGAAGGTTCAAATTTTATTAAAACTAGAATATCTGAACTGCTTTTATTTGATTGGTTTTACCACAATATCAAATTTGCCTGAATTGAATTTATTAGGTAACAAATTTAGAACTTAAATCAATGGTTGGACTCAAAAGCTAATATATTATTAACATTTTGAGTACTACAACAAAGATTTAGTCCTTAAAAGTAATTAGTAATATCCCACTACTTTTATATTTTTAAATAAGATAGGCAAAATGTAGATGACAAAATATCTTTGAGTAAACATTAAAAAACTTTTGTGGGTTACCTGACACAAACCAACTTAACCTAACTGAATAACAGTCAGTTAGGTTTGCTTATGTCTGTGTGAAGCTGACTCATTTGGTCCTGGTTAACACTGTTTACTCTTTATCACGTCAATAACAAATATCTTTGAAATTCCCTATCATTTTATACATTGTTAAAAACATACCTTCTTATGATAATATGAGGAGATATATAAATGTTTTATGTAGACAGATAGAGAGATGAACTTCAATCTTCACACCGAAGTAGATCCACTTTAATAAATAGGTACTCCTTAAAACCAATAAGTACCTGTACTATTATTGAACCTCAGAAGCAACTTTTTTATCAACCGAACAGTTAACACTGTGCTTAAATCAAACCTTGGTAATTTAATTTTGAGATGTGTTTACCTTTTCCTTAAGTGTTTTACAAATTCATTGTATCAATGTTTTTTATTTGTTCATAGAAACTATTTGTACAGGAAGAAAAATAAAAAATCACAAATTTTTTTATTTAATTTTTGCAGCTCATTTCCAAAATGTTTATTTCAACTTACCAACCTAGATTACTGGTTAGTCCAACCACTGGTTCACCCTGTGATGTTTCTGTCTGCAGCACAACGCCCTGAGAGGGATCTGCCCAGCCACAGTCAACTTGTTGATGAACGTAGTGTCTTGTGAGACACAGCCGTCAGTCCGGGCCTCAGCTCTGCAGTGCTTCACAGCCATGGTGTCCGTCCTGCATCGCTCGCTACCTCACGAGGTACGTTGGTTAGTCTGTCCTGACAGTCATACTACATTGAATATGGCATGGTAAGAGACTTAGATGGAAGACAACTGATACTGTCTAATTTTAAATTTTTTTTGGAGTTAAAGAAGTTTGCAGCCTCTCTTAACGTCGACCCACATAGACTTTGTGGACACAAGCAAAGTTTGGGCTTAGCTGGTACCCTCGATGGTGTGTGCTTATACTGTAAACATGTTTTTTGAACAGATAAATTAAAGAACCAATCAAACATCAACTTTCGACATTGCTGCCCCAGTTTCATAGTCCGTTGTGCTACCTAGCACTGACTTACAAAAATGGATTCATTTTCAAAATATGTATGTGTTAGACATTCTGGTGTAATATTTAAGAGATGGAATCTGAGTGTTGTAAATATTATGTTCTATTCCATAAAAAGGTTAACAATTATTGGTTAGGGTTATGCCTACTCCATCGATGTTTCATCAGAACTTTCGACAAAGTTTTGTTAATTTACGGGATTTAACCCAGGTGTCTAGGATTCCAAGCTCTTATTAACCCCTCCACCAAGAGCCACCCCATCCAAACAATTTATAAATACACATAGAAAAACATTTTCACTGTCATGTGAATTCAGTGTAAATCTAGAATGTAATATTGACTATTGGATGCTGAAGTTGTATCAATAGTCAAAGGTAATAGCCTACACAACCTTGGGCCTTCCGTTTGTTTAAAGTAGTTTGAACTTTGCTATTTATACACTAAATGAATCTGTTGAGTAAAGACGCATCTTTTATTTTCTCAGCGTCAAATCGAAGTGACAACAGTCCTGGAGAAGCTGAGAGAGGTGGTGTCCGTGGTGGTAGGCAGAACAGCTGATGATGCTCTGCTCCAGGTGGTAGACACTGTACAAGCTGTGCTGACTCACTCACACTCACCTAGGAGTCTGCAGCCTCTCATGGTCGAGGCAAAGCTACTCGACGCTCTGCTCAACATTCTCGAGCAAATCACTGTGAGTAGGCGTATCTGAATCTAGTTTTTTTGTTTATCTGAATATCTAGTTTTTAGTTTTCGAAGAAGATGAACTACTCTTGATAGTCTACTTGTAACATTATTTATGTGGGAATTCCAATTGAGTTTTGAGTCTAAATGTATTCCTAACAGTTTTACATTCTCATTCACATAAGATAAGCTAAGATTCCTGTTTCTTAAGCTTAACAAAATAGACTGGGTTTTGCTACTATTTAACAACAAACCATTACTTTTAAACCATATATTACATTCAGAAATGCAATTTTCCATCTGACCCTTAATAGTTTCAACAGGGCCGATTTACTGAATAGGCACGTGCCTAGGGCGCGAGGCAATTGGCTTTTTTGGGGGGCGCCAAAATTTTTGAAAATAAAAAAAATGGTGGCTGTATTTGCATGCGATCACGGTAAACTGGTAATCATCTCCCGCGGTCGTTTGGAGATCTTCATTGTCTTTCGCAAATGAGGCAAAATTCTTATCTTTACCGTGGTTGAGAAGAAATTATCATCGTCTTACGCGATTGCGGTAAAATTCTGATCATCCCTCGCAGCTGTGTAGAGTAGACATCATTATTGTAACTCCTGCGATCCTGTAGACATCGCAATCGTCTCCCGTGGTTTTGAAGACATCGTAATCGTCTCCCGCTGTCGTAAAGACATCGTAATCGTCTCCAGCGGTCGTGAAGACATCGTAATCGTCTCCAGCTGTCGTGAAGACATCGTAATCGTCTCCAGCGGTCGTGAAGACATCATAATTGTCTCCCGCTGTCGTGAAGACATCGTAATCGTCTCCGGCGGTCGTGAAGACATCGTAATCGTCTCCGGCGTTCGAGAAGACATCAGACATCGTAATCGCCTCCCGTGATTACGGCAAAATGTTAATAATATCCCGCAGTCATGTGGAGATCATTATCGTCTTCCACGATCGTGGTAAATTTCTGACTGTTTCCCACGGTTGTGTCCACATTATCTTCGTCTTCTGTGATCACGACAATATTCTGATGCTCCTTCACGGCTCTGTAGATCGCATTCGTATTGCGTGATCGCGGTAAAATCATGATCATATACCGCGGTCGTTTAGACATTATCATCGTCTCATGCGATCGTGACAAAGTTCTGATCATCCCTCGCGGCCTTGTGGAGACATAATATCGCCCCCCCCCCCCCGGTCACGTAAACGTCACTGTTGTCATGTGCCATCGCTGTAAATTGACAATTCCAGGTAGAAATACAAAATTCACGCATAATTCCCGGTTCAAAAAATTCACGCTTAGTTCCCAGATTTCCCGGTAGGTGGTCACCCTGTTATAAATATTGCAAAGGGGCGCTACTATTTTAGTTGTGCCTAGGGCGCTGACAAACTCAAAAACGGGCCTGAGTTTCAATGTTGACATCATAACAAAAAAAAGTTGAGTCGTCAGCAAAAATTATTGACTTACAGGGTGTAGGAACATAGGATGGTAAGTCATTAATCAAAACCAAGAACAGGAAAGGGCCAAGGACCGACCCCTGGGGTACACCACTTTTCATCACCTCTGCGTCAGAGAGACTATTTTTGTAACAAACTCTCTGCGAGCGGTTTGTCAAATACTGGCGAAAAAGGTTTAGCTCAACACCTCTGATACCATAATATTCCAATTTAGCAAGAAGAATGTCATGCGGAACACAGTCAAATGCCTTTGAAAGATCACATATGGTTGCAAGTGTGTCCGCATGCTTTTCAAAACCTGTTAAAGCAGCAGAGACCAGGCTTCCAACTGCATCCACAGTTGACAAACCACCTCTGAAGCCGAATTGGAATTTAGAAAACAAGTTATTAGATTAAAAAAAAAATTCACTTGGTGTATCATAGCTTTTTCTAAAATTTTGGAAAAGATTGGTACGACGGAGATCGGTCTATAGCTCTCTGGATTTGACAAATCACCTTTCTTAAAAACTGGAACTACTTTTGAAAATTTGAGACACTCAGGAAAATTTCCAGAAAGTAAACAAAGATTTATACAAGATGTTAGGGGCTGCAAGATTTCGGGAAGCACACTTTTAATTAGATCACAGCTAATTTGATAGATATCACGACACTTGCTACTTTTCATACCATGAACTATTTTCACCACTTCCTCACTTGACACAGGCCTCATCCTAAACAAAGCTGGCTCAAAGACAGAAGGTTTCTAGGCGAGCTGGGATGCTACAGCTACTGAAGGTGGAACTTGGTGACGGATGTCATCTATAGAGGCAACGAAGAAGTCAGAGAAAATCTGTGGTGTAAGCGAGTCAATAGTTGGCGAGATCACTCTGCTTTTACACTTGTTAATGAGCTCCCAGGCCCTTTTGCATTGATTGGATGCAGAAGCAATCGAATCAGCATTTGATTCTAGTTTAGCATGAGCAAGAGCTTTTTTGTAGCTGGTTTTAGCTTCTTTGTACCTTAGCTTTGTCTCTTCAACCAGCACATTATACCTCTGGGCCCACTGCCAGAAGTCATATAACTTTGTTACCTCCTTACGTTTCTCAGATAATTCACGACTGAACCATTTAGCTTTGGATTTTTTACTAACATCTGATGGTGTAATAGTTTTCTCAGGAAAGCAGACATCCATAGCATTCTTGAAGGTGGAGAAAAACTTGTTAAAATCATTAAAATTGCCCTCTAACTTCACATCCCAGTTTATGCTGCTTAAAGTTGATTTGAATAAGCTTGTATTATGTAAACTGAAACTTCTGATAACCTTGGAATTTTGCTGTTTATCATAGGCATTATTATTTGGGTTGAAATTATCCAAATTCAGGGTTGTTAATAGGGCATTATGATCTGACAGTGGGGGTGAGAGGACAGTGCTAGTTATGTCACTCATAGGTATGTCAGTGAAGACATTGTCCAAGCAGGATAGTTCCCTGGTCGGCCTCTGATTAAGGCAATGGCAGTTTAAAGACCTAAGTACGTCCAGAAACTGTAGAGGAAGATCAGCCTTCAAGTTCACATCTATATTGAAATCTCCACATACAATTATAGGCAGATTAAGGCGGGACAGCTTTATAATGAGCCTGTCGATCCCCTCCAGAAATAGACGTTGGTTCCCATTAGGTACTCTATAAACAGAGACTATGAATAACTCAAGGGCTATGTTCACAAGAGTTACCCGAATACAAACACATTCAAAGTCATTTTCAATACAGAACTCTTTTACATCAATTTCACGATAGTCTAGGCCAATTTTAGTATAAATAGCAACACCTCCTTTTTTTTTCACGGATCTACAGAACATAGCAGCACGAGTGAACCCATCAATCACAGCTAGGTCCTTATTTTCCTCTAAATACCAATGCTCACATACACAGAATACAGAAATATTATTTTGGTTTAATAATAACTCTACTTCATTTAATTTATCACCTAGAGACTGGGTGTTTGCTGAAATAAGCATCTAGACTGCCAGTGCAAGTCCGAGGAACGGACTCAGATCAGGATCGTGGATCAGATCAGTGGATCACCCCCCACCACCGCTCAGTGCCGATGGCGTGACGTCAACCATTACTGCAACGATACGGAACTGAGTCATGAGCCTTTGTGGTGAAGTGGATAGCGTGTCGGGCTGATAATCTGAAGGTGCCGGGTTCGAATCCCACCGGGAGCATTAACTTTTTGTCAACAATTTTTTTCATATCAGCAAGTTTGGTTGGTTTGGTTAGGTTATGACAGTTTAATTTTATAATTAAAAGATTGTAAAATTGAATTTGAGACATTTATAATTTTATTTTTAGAACAGAGCTATTTTTCGATTAGTAAACCTTCATTCGAGTTTATCATTATCAGCAAGTTTGGTTAGTTTGGTTAGGTTATGATAGTTTAATTATATTTCATTCAAATTTAATCTACAAATTATACGTTTTGACAGCGACAGTGATACAGATAACAATTTTCCACGAACAGTTAGGTACTGATCTGATCCACGATCCTGATCTGAGTCCGTTCCTCGGACTTGCACTGGCAGTCTAGACGCTAGTTTTGCTGAAAGAATATAAAATAATGCTCTGCTCTTCCTGCTGTCTTGAGATTTTACATTTTTTAGGTTTGATTTGTTGGTAGTTTTCTTAAGCTATGGTATACTACTTTGGGGCTGTGGCCATGGCATGAAAAGAGTCTTGTCAAAGCAAAAGGAAGCTATTAGAATAATTACAAGTTTTAGTTACCATGCACATTGTAAACCACTTTTTGTCCGTGAAAAATTTTAACTGTTTATAGCTTGTTTATTTTTAAGTGTTTGTTACATGTAAAAGCAAATCTAGGTTCCATAGCTTTAAGAGGTGAAACTCATGTCCATTTAACCAGGAGGAGACATTACTTAGATTTACCTCAGGCAAGGCTTGCAAAAACACAAGAATCCTTTTTTTTATCTTGGTATTAAATTGTTTAACAGGCTACCTCTTGAGTCACACCATGTTAGCATGAAGTCCTTTAAATCTAGTCTAATGGCCTGGCTGCTTGAAAACCCGTTTTATAGCTTGGAAGAATACTTTAAATGTTCCAGAATTAATTTAAGTTTTAGTAATTAATTATTGACATTGACTAGTCTTGCTCAGTTATGTTACACCTTGTTACCTTGTTTATAGTTATATAGATGGCATTGTTGATCTTTAGAAATATATTCACTCTTGTTAATTTATTAGTCTTAGTATCTTGACGTCAACTGTACAAGTGTGCAATCTTGTTTCTTGTTGAAATAAATCTTTGAATCTTTGAAGAGGAAGTGTGTTTAATAGAGCTAGATATGAAGTTTGGTACAAGATGTAAACATGTGTGTGGTTATAAAAGAGTGAGAAATCGTCTTGTAAATGAATTGGTTAACAATCAACATAGAACTAGTAAACTATAGAAGCTACTGGGGGGAGTGTATGATGCATTTACAACCAATTTGCATTTCCCTGGTTTAACATTGACATCACAATTACAAGAATTTAGTTTTAGTTTAGTTTTTAGTTTGCAAGTAAAAAAAAGTAATACTGTAGATCAATAACTTGAAAACAATAGCTTGTGTTAATCCAGTAGTTAGCGTGCCAGGGCAAAGTAAAGACCTAACAATCTGAAGACTCTGTAGAACCTGAATCAAAACCCTTTCACATGTCCTTAGCTTATATTAATTTTAAATATGAATAACTCTACCTTGAATAAGGATTGACATCACACTTTTTCACAGGACGCAGCCAAAGACCGAATGGATCTTGTTATTTCCACCACAAGAGCTATCAACAGACTCATCATAGGGGCTTCTGAGGGAATGGTAAGCAAAATTTAACTAGTAGTATGCTTATTCTGCGCGTAACGTGATGAGTGAACATGAGCGCAGTAATGAAAGAGTCCACCCACGCCTAGCCTACTTACCGGTGTCACTGGTGAGCACAATGTTATTTGTATGGGCAAAATTTAATAATCAATCTTATCAATATCGATATTGAACTAGTCATTAAGGGCCCCTTTACATAACATATTACCTGAATCAATGACTGTATGCACGTTTGTTTATGTGTAAACTATAGCTTGTTTTCACTTGCTTCCTTTGGTTTAACCCAAAGGGGGAAAAAACACAGTGTAAAATCTATCTACACTGTAGAGTAAAAAAATTTCAGTTCACTGTTATGTAACCGGATAAGAAACAAAAATCAACTGAATAAAATTAATGACTCAATTTATATACGTGTGGTCTGGTCTGTCCTGCAGAAGCGTATGGAGAAGATATGTGGTTACTCCCGTCTGTTTGCCTGCCTGAGGTCGATAGGTCAACCCCCCAGACAACTGCTGGAGGTGCTGGTCTCCATGGTAACAGAAGAGGAGAACTCCATTTGTCTGAAGGATATGAAACTGAATGTAAGTCAAATTAGATTCATATTGTGATTGAGACTTGAATGTGTTAATAGATTGTAAAGTCATTTAATACTTAACGAGAGGACCCGTGCACGAATTACACAGCTTAATAGGGTCTAAAACTTGTTAAATAAATCCAGTGCTGTACCCATTTACCTTTTCAAGATTATGTTTTTTTGGAACAATTATTAGGTGAATAGAACTACTAATTTACAATAGATTTGTTGATTTTAGATCTACACTATAAAGAGTGATTTATACACCTCAATCAGGTCACAGTTGTCAAAAAAGCCTATTTAAAATACATTTTGATAAACTGGCTTGTCTCTTGTTTATTTAAAATCTGACTGTGTTAAACGTTGTATTGATAGTCAATGGATATTCCTTGTATTGACCTCTTGAGGGTCCTTGTATTGATAGTTAAACATTCAACTGAAGGAACAGCTGATGAATTACAATTCACTTTTAAACCGTTATAAAGAAAGTTGGTCAGCATAACTGGATCTTTGGAAATGGACTCTAGGAATAAATTAAATGAGAGGAGGGCCAAATCCCTAAAGGAAATTACCTTTGGAATTACCATTCTCAGCTGCGCTACATCATATAATAAGCTTTAAAATAACACCTCAATCGTAAAAGTTGTTTTAGAAGGACGGCTGGAGAAGGGATGTATCAGGGAAACCCTTTATTTTATTAAGTATATTGATAAATAGATTGCAGGGAACAATTTGTAAGTGTAAGGTATAAAGTACCCGAGGAAGATTTAATCTAACTTTACATGAATGAAAAGTCAGATTTTAGTAATTATTCAACTAGGCCTAAATCGGAGTTTCACTAGATTTTATACAGATTTTGTTTACAAAATCATCTTTAATTGATTTATTGATTATATTAAACAGAAAGTTTAAACATCCCCTTCAAAACAAATTTGCATAGTAAACACTAAACAGTTTTCAGTTGATGGATTTAGTTTTTATGGAAAAAGGTTTATAAGAAAAATAATTTTTATATCTAAACCTGACTGAACACTTGCCTTGTTAAATCAATCAATTAATGCTTGGGTTTTCTATTTTAAGGAACACAAATGTTCTTTTTTGGTTAGATTTCAGAGATGTTATGGGTTTGTGCCTTCACAAATATTTATCAGTAGGTACAGTTCATACTTGTACCGTTCCAGCTCACCTCTTGTTTTCCTTGAAACATTCCATGCACAGGCCAGATACCCTTGTGGACAGTCAAATACAAGCTGTAAACCTATTTATTAATTCAATTACATATTTGTAACTAACTATTTTTGTATATTATCAGATGATAGTAATTGAGTTTTTTCTTTTACAGAACACAGAACCAATAGTGCCTTTCATCCAGTGGATGGGTGAACTGCTACCTGACGATCAAGTGTGGCTGGCGTGTACTCTTGAGGGGATTTGCACAAACAGTTTGCAGAGGTATACGTATAATACATATATTTACATTCGTCCTGTTCACTAGTTTCTGTAGCATAATCCTGCATTCATTTTGGTTTAAAAAATATGTTTCATTGAAAATACTTGCCAAACAGCTGTCTGAGAAAGTGGCGTTTTGTTCACTAGAATTTAGTTTGTGAAACAGCTGATTCCTCGTCATGTTACTTTGTTCACTTTACTTGTCATTTTATTTTGTTTAGTTGTCATCCAAAGTGAAGAAAAGAAGGGAGCAAGTTAAAAATTATACTTTACTCACTACATTTCTTCACTCCGGCTGACATTTGAACAAAACAAAATTTTTGTTTAGTTTATTTTCATAAAATAAAGAAAATCAAGAAAAGGGTAAAATTAATTCCTTGAAGTAAAAAGTACACAATTATTTTTAGCTGTCACATACCAATAACTGTAGACAAAATAAAATGTGCAACTTTTCCTCAAAGTATCTTTTGTGTTAAATCTATAAAATTTACACACTTTCATTTCTATCTCGTTTTAAAAAGTGCCACTTTTCTCACTAGTTGTGCTACAATTTTCTCCTGACTTCTAATATTTTGGTGTGATCACAGCAAAGCGACTGCATGCTCCAGTGGCATAGTGGTAGGCCTGTGTGAGCTGTTGTCGTCAGCTACTCTGGACTCAAGAGCTGCTGTTCATCTGGTAGTACTGATAGAGGCCCTAGCTAGTCACTCTGTATCGGCCAACCAACTGAAACAACTTTTTCTTCTGCTGAGGACAGATCAGGAGAGAAAGGTACAGGACAATATGAGCTAACCCTCTAATATATACTGATGTTTAGTGAGTCGGTGGCTCAGTCGGTAGCGTCGCGGACTTCGGGCCCAAGGCAGCGATGTCGTGGGTTCGGATCCTGGTCACTGCCGATAACATTTTATCAGTACAGTTCACCTTTGTACTGTACCGGCTCACTCCTTGCTTTGCTGTTAACGATCCACGCACGGGCGCTTAGTCTATGTGGACGGGCAAATGCAAGGTTAAAAGAGGCCGCCAACCTCTTAAAAAAAAAAAAAAAAAAATACTAATATTGTCCAAATAAATTGCTTTAAATCAAAGTTTTCTACTAAATTTTAAGTCTGTTGTTGGACTGTGATGTAATAAATAATTCTGATTTCAGAACCCCTACAGAAACCATTTGCTCAGAGCTATTTCCAACATAACTCGTAAAGCCAGTCTACAACTACATTGTGACTCTTACTTTGATATTGGAGATCCTGCAGGTAAATGAGGGAGTACATTGCAAAATTATCCTTACCAATAATAAGAAACATTTAACACTATTTCTGCCAATTGCTAGTACCAAAGAAGATCTACCACACCATTTCTGTGGCCTTCACTTTTCCGAGATTTTCAAAATAAAGTCTTGAGCAAAGTGACTAATAACTTTATTTTAACCTCATCAGATTAAATTATAATAACAATAGGCTATTAATCTTAATCTCGCTTTTTTCTGTTTAATTACAGCGTTGGAATCTTTTTTTTTATTGTATGGGAATGGTCCAAACCCTGGACCGTTATTAGCTGACATCAACTATCTGGTATCTGGGTCCTGAATCAAACCAGCTTAATACCACGAGGAACTTATTTAACTACGCTTCTGATGATTCTGAAAAAAGATGAAATTTAATTTTCGTAAGGTTGAATTTGTGATACATTGATCATGTCTAGACGGCATCACAGTGACGGACATGCGTAAGTGGAACGGAGCAGTGTACGGGTTCAGCTTCCACTGTTGGCTGCGACTGGAGCCATCGGGTGACCTGTCCCCGACCTCCACTGCCCCTCGCAGACAGATATTCAAGTGAGTTATGATACACAGCAGTGAAAACTGTGGAAAAGGATAGAGTTAACTAGCTTAACTAGGAGAAGCTCCAGTGGCTTACAGAATCACAAGGGGGAAATAAACTCAACACAATACTTTTGTGTGTTGAACTTTTTTTCAAGAAATAGTTTTTTTCCAATGTACATATTTTTTATGTAAATATTTTGTTTTATTTTTGTGAATATTTTCCAATAAAAGAAGTGCTGTGTTAATTTTTCTATCGCAAAGGTTCCTAAGTAAAAAATGCTGACATGGATGAAAAATACTTTATAGATTAACCATCCTTATTCTAAAGACAATTTTTATCATAGTTTTTCCGGTTTATGTTGTTTTTGACAAAAAAGATTAATATAAGAGTTAGATTAAGGCAAGGAAGAATATTTTGTCATAGTTGTACCCAACAGCTTTAAAATATATTATTTAAAAAAATAATTGTAATAATTTCTTATGTTACTGTCCTCAGTTTTGTCACCAGTCAAGGTTCAGGCATAGAGATGTTTGTCAGCTCCCAAGGCTCCCTGGTAGTAGGAGTGACCACCAAGAAGGAGTACCTAGCTGCTACTGTACCTGACCTGAGCCTCCAGGACACGTTGTGGCATTGTCTGGACCTCTGCTACATGGCTGCAAGGTACAGTAACTATATTTGACAGTCAAATAGACATTTGTCAGCTTCCAAGGCACCCTGGTAGTGTCAATGGAGTTTGACAACTCCCAAGGATCCCTGGTTGTGGGAGTGGTGTTCATAAACTCTCAAGGTTCCCTAGATGTGGGAGTATTGTTCGTCAGCTCTAATGGTTCCCTAGTCGTGGGAAAGGTGTTTGTTAACTCCCAAGGTTCTGTGGTTGTGAGAGTGGTGTTTAATAGACAGTTCAGTAAATAAGTCTTATAATGTTTTTCCAGGCGACCTTTTGGTCACAACCAGCTGTCAGTGTTTATTGATGGCCACCAGAAATTAGCAGCAGCCATGAAGTTTCCAGCCATGACTGAGGTAACATACATATAAATACTCTACCTACTTAAATAATACAGGCAATGACAGAAATGTTACATGTCACATCTCCCTTCAATTCATTATACATTTTACTTGAATCACAAAATTAATTATTACTAATTAATTGAAAAACTGTTATGAAAGTTATAAAAAATTTATGAAAAGTTATTTTGATGCAAATAGTTTAAAAACCTATCCCTAAGGAAATTAAATTTGGAATACATCTTTTATAACCGTATTTGTTCATTGAGGGTTTATACTTTGCCGCTGCATTGTTCTACCATGTAAAGACTCTTATTTGACCAGGACAAAAAATAGGTCTTTACAAAACTGTGCCAGCTTACTGTATTATAGCCATGTTTTTGGGTTATTTCCTTGTTTTTTTTTTATTCCTTTCCAATTCTTTACTACATTGTCTTTTCCTTGTATTCATGAGCCTTCCCTTTTTCTATTTCCCTGAGGGTTGCCAGTCAAAAGCTTGTTTTGCTATACAACTCTCACTCCGGGCTTCTAAATTTGTATCTTCTGCTAGTAATTTATAGTAATAATGGTACATATACCATTCATAGAAGTAGACATTCTAACCCTGTGTTTGAGCTGAGTCAGTTTTACAATCAAAATGGACGTAGTTGCAATCAAGTTTCTGAAAGAGTGTGTTGATGTCAACTATCCAGACTTTTTAACAAAGCCAGATTGGAAGGATTGCTCATAAACTATAGCATCTTTCATGTCACATAAAATATTATAGGTCAAACCTAAAACAATATGAGAAAATCGAGCTTGATGGAGCATATTTCGTAAAGGGCTCATTCAACTAAGTTCTATTTGACTAAAATATCGGCTAGATTTGATCAACATAGGATCAATAAGTCAATGATGAAACCTAAGTAGTGATTGTCTACAGTACTTCCCATCAATTGATTGATAATGTTTTTAAGCTTCATCATGTTACAGGCTGATATTTCTTGCAATGTTTCAGCCGTTTTCTCTGTGTACTGTGGGGGCAGCAGCAGCAAGGAACTACCAGCCAAGTCAGAGTAGAGCTGATAAATCACCCAGTGGCATCATGGAGAGAGGTCTACTTCCTTCAATTATGTCTCAGGTATGGCAATGCAACTGTTGTTTTAAAGTAGGGTTCTACGGGATAAACCGTTTTTTCTCGTGTGGTCTTTAGGTCTCACGTCAGACTCGGTTCGGGCAAAAATCAGTTGCTTTGGAAAAATATTGACTTAACTTTTTTGTAATACTACAATCGGTTTATATGATATTTATAACAAATTAACTCCCCCAATCTGGGTGAACTCGTGAACATCTGCTGTCACAGCAAAATCTAGAATGTCTTTTGCGGCCATGGTGAAATCGAAAATGTATTTTGTGGTCACACAAAAACCATTGTTACCACTTGCAATCGAGACAAAATATTTTTGATCTTGCATCTGTGTAAACATAGTCTGTGATAGCAAAAATAAAAGCTTGCCCAAAAATCTAGCAGCTCGCACTTCTAAAAGATATGACTTGACCATGGATCACCATTATCATCACCATGTTATCATCCTTGATTTTACTAACCTACTTCAATATCTGTTGCAGGTCCCAAACTACTTCTCCCTCCCACTACGGTCATCCACCCCACTGGACCCCAATGTCAAGAACTTCCCCCCTGGCATGCAAGACACAATTTTCGGCATCCCGTCCAGTCTGGGAGGTCAGTTGGGACTCATCTGTCTGTTCCATGAGGCTCTGCAGCCCCATCAAGTCAAAACACTGTTCGACTCAGGTATAGATGAACAACTGAAACTAAAACATATTTTCAAGAGTAAAACTTAACTGCCTAAAATTTTCATTAAGGCCTGTTTTGATGTGTGTTCGATGTTAGAAGATTAGCTGCTTAAAACTCCGACACACACGGGTGGGTTATTTAATGTGAAAATGAATTAAGGATAAAAGTTGACTGAATGAGATGACAGCTTTGTTAATGACCAAGAAAAAGATAATTGGTTGTGTTGAGTACGCTGAAACAGCTAAATGTTTCCTTTTATTAGGGAAAATCTGCTGCTATGTAAAGCTTTTATTTTTTGGAGGGATTAATTTCCACTTAAGTATTTAATATAAGATAAGATAAGATCAAATAACATGACAACTAAAAATCCTTGTACGCCGAACATATAGGTCTACTTCAGACCGACCATACATACTCAGATATAAATAAAAATATACATATTCTGGATGTTGAAAATAAATGTGAAAAATGAATGCAAAAGAAGACTTTCATATTAATACACATCATACTACTGATAAAGACAATTTACTTAACTTGAAACAAACTCAAAACCAAAATGTCATTTTAAATTATTAAATTATTAATTATTATCATTAAATTATTAAATAAAATTATTAATATTAAAGAAAAACACCACCTACTCCCTTGACATAAAAATATCACCTGCTCTTAAAACAAGAAATATCGAATGTTTGTAAATAATATAATTTAATAGGTTAAGTACTTTTCACTGTGATCATGGCATGAATGGCCGAAACACGTTGTGTTTTAAAATAAAATGTTTTCAGGGTACTTTGGTATTTTAATTAACTTGTTACCATACCACTTAAGTAATTGATATAAATAATTTTAGTGTTAAGACTAAAAAGTATAAGTATTTTCAATCCTAATCCCTCTTACTGTTTAGTTTAGTATTACGTATCTTAACATCTACCGCAGTTTCTTTCTATGCATTCCCACTCTAATTCGGTGCGACGATTACAGGTTTTTGATACAATATCAGTCCCGATTCTTTTGCAATGAAATCAACAGAATCACAAAATACTTCCTCACTACTATAATTTCTCCAATTAGGGTAATTTTGGTCTGGTTTTGCCAAGTCCTAGTTCTGATAGTGCTCCTGCCAACCATCAGCAAGTCATTGAACCCAAGCATGAATCCACTGGGATAAGCATGACTGGAGCCATGCCATGGTATAGAAGATACAGCCTTTCCCTGAAAACATTGTTTCCAAGTTCTTTTCTGAATAGTCTTTAACACTGTTGGGCATTCCTGGATATAAAAGGGGTCACATTTACATGTTCTTAGCAGCTCTTTGGCTGTCCAGTCTACCTTCCTTTAACCCCCAACAGATTTTGTAAAGAGTAAACCCAAAATTGTAGTGGGTAAGCCCAAAATTGTAGTGGGTAAACCCAAAATGGGAGGGCAGAGACAATGGGAATGGAACCGACGAGCGATAAGAAAATGCGCGTGATGCTTGACCGCCTGTTTACCTTACAGTCTAGACCCAACCTCCGCATTTTCAACACAGGTCCGCTTGTCGAGTTTGATGTTATATTTTATCGGCCGTACATGTGTGCGCACTATGTGTTTATTCGTCGTGTGTTTCTGTAAATATAAAAAACTGTTACTGACGACCTTCATATGAAGTAATATCATCCTTGTACACACCTGATGATGACCTCCTAGCAGGTCGAAACTAGTTGTGAAAACAAAAATCTGATTGCAAGAATAAGGTATTTAAACCACTATCACTAGCCAAAAATATGTATTTTATGCATTCTGCTGATAACAATTTTTCGCTTCATCAACCTATTCCTGTAGGCAGGCATAGAAGTTAGATCCAATAAATATTGTTGACATACCAACTGCTGCTTACTAACATTATTTCCCTCCCAGGCCCCAACTGTCGCCTCTTGTTCTCCCCGGAGGACCACGCTGAGATGTTGGTTCTCAACAGCAAGTTAGTCTGGTGCTTCGCCCCGGCTGCATGTTGGGATGGCAGTTGTATTGACCTTGCTGCTACAAAAAAGTTCACTGCCAAGGCGATCTCACGTCAATGCCACACCCACACTATCAAGGTATAAATTTAAATCACAAAATCTTTTGTAATCTTCAATTTTTCTGCTCTTACCTAATGTGCAAAAACAATTTTTTTTTCTCACGAGTAAATATTATTGACTGTAATTTGTTATCTGTGCTAACTACTGAGATTTGTGACCTGTGATTGTGTTCGCAGGATGTGGTCAACAGCATCGGGGGTGTGCAAGTTTTATTCCCACTATTGGAGTGTCTAGATGCTCAGGATGGTCCAGACCTTCACCTAGTGTCACCCCCGGCTCCCTCCCCCTCCCACGACATGTCTGCAGAGTGGGTCGTACTGCCTTCTAGCTCTCTGTCTGGTAAATGACCACACAGCCACAACTTATATGTAGATCTGTAGATTATTCTATGGTAGAATTAATTGACTTTCGAACACTGATGTAGACTAGACATCACATGCGTATGGACCAGCTGAAGCCAATTTTTGCTAAACAGAATAACCGTAGTTGAATAAGCTATTCATAGAGTGAGTTGCCAGCTAACATTTTATTTCCTCCCTTGGTCTAGCGAATTTCCTATATAGGGATTAGGGAATAAGCTATTACCGTAGGTCTCAGAATAAGACCTGGACCCGGGACTGATTTCATTTTTTGTTTTGATGTCCCCAGAGGCCAAAAATATCATCAGTTCAAATTCATATATATATATGTGTCTGAAAGCACGATAACTCAAGCAAAAATGATCTCATTTTGATGAAATTTGTTACAAAACGTGTAAACCTATATTTATTCAAACAAGTTCGCAAACCAGCATGATGAGACTATTGGTTTTTCCCATTTTTGACACTAAAAACATAAAATTTCACAATTCCTTTCCAAGCCATTTTGTAGAGCTTAAAAAAATAAATAATTTTGTATATTGAAGCGTTGTATGCCTAACAATTACGGAGATAATTAAAAAAATTGTAAATCTAAAATTCCCATGTTATTTTTATGGAGAGTAAATCTACTGATGTAGTTTGCTTGTTTGTCTATACGTTTTGATCAAACTTTGAAAATTTATTTATGTTATACTTAGCTATTAATATTTTACTAAATACAAACTTTATTACCCTCCCTATAGCAGCAAACCTAAGTTTGGATTTCAAATCTAATCAGGCAAATGGAAATTCGCATAGGACCTCATAGGACCTCTGAGACTACAAGACACAGTGCTTGAAATGCAGAATCAGGTAAAGTACCTGGGGGTGGTATTGGACCGAAAGCTGCAATGGGGGCCATAACTCCAAAAGGTCATTGATCGAGGTAAGTGGTCACTCATGGCCTGCAGACGGATGGTGGGAGGAACCTGGGGGCTCATGCCGGTGCTCATGCACTGGCTATTTGTCTCCGTGGTAAGGCCCGCCATGACATACGGCTCACTCGTGTGGTGGCCCAAGATGGACTCAGTGTCGGCGGTGAGAGATCTGGCTGCCGTCCAAAGACTCGCCTGTCTCATAATCACGGGCGCAATGAGCAGCAGTCCGGGAGCCTCACTGGACTGCCTTCTCAACCTCACTCCGATTGACCTGTATGTTAAGGTCACTGCGAGGAGGACTGCCTACAGACTCCAGTGTGAAAACCTTTGGTTGGATGTTGGAGGATCCCGAGGTCACTCTCGGATCACTCAGCAGGTAAGAGGGGAGGTAATGGACATGCCCTCGGATCACATGCCGACTCGATTCTTCTTCGCCAGACCATTCACTGTCCTCCTTCCGTCCAGGGATGAGTGGATGTCCGGTGGGAATCCTCTTCCACAAGGCGACCTTGAATGGTATACTGATGGTTCAAAGGTAAGAAGTGGGACTGGGGCTGGAATTCATGGAGTGCAGAACGGGGTGGACATTTGTCTTCCTATGGGCACTCACCCAACTGTGTTCCAGGCCGAAATGACTGCGATTATGGTATGTGCTAGGGAAAACTTGAGGCTAGGCTTCAGGGACATCAACATTTCCATTTTTACAGACAGCCAGGCTGCGCTCAAAGCGCTTGACTCCTATGAATTCAATTCTAAGGTGGTCTGGGACTGCCTTTCTGCGGTATGTGACCTGGGCAGGCGCAACAAGGTAACGCTCTGTTGGGTTCCTGGGCACTTAGTGATAGAAGGGAATGAGGTGGCTGACAGGCTAGCAAATGTCGCGTCAGCCTCAGACTTCGTGGGACCACAGCCTTTCTGTGGAATCTCTCGTGGGCATGCATGTCACTCAGTCATGGCATGGGCTCAGGAGGAACACAGGAAAAGATGGGTTAGGCTTCAGCACCATAGGGTAAGTAAGCTCACCCTCTTCTCCCCTTCCCAGACGGTCGCCTCCAATGCCCTACGATTAGACAGGAGGCGACTCAGACAGATCACAGGAATGGTCACTGGACATGGCTTTCTGAAATTACACCTTCATCGCTTGAGGATCCACAATGGTGACACTGCGTGTAGGAAATGTGGGCAATCAGAGGAGACTGCTGATCACCTACTCTACGACTGCACAGCTCTGAATGAGGTAAGGGACAGTACTCTTGGTGCAATGACAAGGGGCAGACACCTTCTTCAGGAGGAGCTCATTGACAGGATGCTGGAGTTCATTAAGCAACTCAGGTTTGACGGACTCTGAAGTACCATGTGGGGAGCGCAAAAAGCCCATCAGTGGCTGACGTGCAACAGGACAAGGTCCGCCCCTACAGAATCAATCAATCAATCAATCAATGGAAATTCGCTTAGTCTGCAGGTTTGCTGTGGCGGGGGTATTTTTTAATGTGATAGTTGACGTGACACAAAATATTCCACAATCTACAATAAGTTGTCCTGCCATTTTACTTGGTTAAAAGTTGGTATATTTGACATAAATCTGTAGTTTACATCAGTGCACTCTGTTGATGGCTCAATTCAACTACATTCATGTTCATTCTAAACCCATCTGCAAATTTAACATAGGAATAGAATGTATAGTTCTGTATATAGTCAAAAGTAGAAATCCATCAACAAAAATAACTTATATATAACTATTTTTATTGTTGACAATCTTGCTTTTGTATTTTTAGGAATAAATATTTATAGTTTTTTAGTTTTGCTATAATTGGTTGTGAATGGATTTTATCTCATTGGTAAAGGCTTAACATCATTGTTTACAAACGTAAATTTTGCCTGTAGCGTGGTATAAAAACAGATTCATTCTTCATTCTTAGGCTTACTGAGTAATTGGAGATTTGCCAAAGAGAAAGAACATGCCAATTCCATTTTGCATTTGTTACCTTTTTTTTGGCAAAACCAAGCAGCCTTATTTGATTTCCAGGTTTATGCAGCAAATATTAAAAATTAATTTAACCAACTTAGCTTATTATTTAATGCTATTGTTTATTTTTGAACTTTTACCATTCAGCGCTTTTATTTGTAGAAAAGAAGCTAGAACAGAACCCCATTGCCAGCATGTTGCTGCTGCTCCGCAACATGTTATACTCCAGCTCCGTCAACCAGGAGCAACTGTTGAAGAACAACGGAGTACAAATACTTGGAGCTCTCTTGTCGTCGGTCAGTAGTGGCTTAACTAAGGTCTAGACAACCAATTTTACTGAAGATGATTTACTTAAAATTTGCATTAAGGAAGAATGAACCAACACAACAATTCACCTAGGAGTTCCATTCCATAATAACTTAAAAATATTGTTATCTGAATCTTAAGGCTGTTCAAATCTTAAGGGGTCAAAAATGCTTTAGCAATACTCTAAATCCTAGAATACAACGATTGATTACAAAATAGTCAATGGTCAAAATATCTTTATTAATTTTTATGAACATAATTTATACATAAATAAAATCAAACTTGCAAGCACGTACTATCTACACAATTGTTCAAACTACAATTAATTATATTTGTTACAAAAGTAGGAAAACAAAATTTATTTAGGCCAGTTTAAGCAGAGTGGAAATTCTTTTAAAGAGTTTTAGCAATGAATGCAATCCCTTTAAGAAGCGAAATGCTTATATTATGTGTATTATGAATAATAGTCAGAATGGAATTTTCGTGGAATGGCTTCGTGTGGCCACCGCTACAATCGCTTGTGCCGCGGCTACGCTACTCCATCTCTCTCTCTTTCTGAGCAGATTCCTTGACTCACTCTCTCTCACTCAGTCAGCTGACTTGGCCGCGCCAGATGTTATAATAAACACATATGGACTTATTTCTTGATACATAACAGAGTAGATTAGTAAATCAGTTACATATTATTTTAAACATCTTTTACAATTTGGGTTGATTAATATTTTATGTTTTGATATTTTTGGATTATTTTTCAAAAACTCGTAAACCTATAGGGGTTCTCAAAGAACTTCTATGTATAAGGCTGGATAATATTATTTATGTTTTATGTATTACAGATAGTAAGAAGATTACAATCCTCCTAAACCTAAAATCCTAAAACTACTATCCTAAAACTCATGTTTCCTGGAATGGTTCTTCTTCTTCGCTAAGTATTGAAAGTTTTGAAAGAAAATTGATGCTCCTGCCAAGTATAAATCACGAGATTATATTCCTGTGAGCTCAATTGTCAACTGCAATTGATGGATGTGGATGAGGGTGTTTAGATGCAGGAAATGTGCAGGGGGTGGAGGGAGTTTAGAGGTGGTTGTAAACATTTGCACCATACTTGGTAAGAATGTCAATTTTCTTTCACAATGTTTTGGAGTATTAGGGAAGGGAATTAATCGTCTCATAGGGAATGGTACCGGTTAGAATCGTAGTGGATGAAGTAACAAACACAAGGTTGGTCTCAGATTTTATCATAGGCCTACTTGCTCGGCTGCGACAGGAGCTCGAATCGAATGAGCCCTTAATTTTCGAACAACCCTTATAATAGTAGTATCATTATGTAAAGTCCTACTTTTTTCATTATCTTTGTATATAACTCATGTGTTGATACTGTGCAAGATGAATGAAGGATGGTTTGATGGCAGGTGCCGTCCCAGCTGATGGAGCCAAGTGTGCTGAAGGCTGTACAGCTGTTGACAGATATGGTCAAGACGTCTGGTAACAATCTGCTGCTGCGCTCTGTACATCAGCACGTGTTGTTTAACTTCAGCATCTGGGCTCGCTGCTCCTTCCTCGTCCGCATCAGTAAGTTGTCAAGTTTTGCTATCTAGGCTCGTAAGTCCAAAATTAATTTGAAGTGCTCCTCTTACAGCGGAACTTATGTAACAAAGCTGTTTGTTTGTTTGGTTACGTTTTGTTCAAACATTCATTTTTGAAGATGGAAGTAGGCATCTTATCTATATGAACGTAGCCAATTTTTTATTGAAAGAAAACTTAGTTGAATCAGCCACACACAGAGTGTGCTACTCTAAAACTGTTGTTATCCTGTTGTAGGCTTTGTTACTGACCTGTAGCTTAACCCTTACCACGCTGTACACTAATATTCTCGCCGAAATTCCCTTTGCTCAAAATGCTATGGACGACTATACTTGCCTTTTAACACATTGACTGCTGAAAACCTTCACACAGGCGCTCCCTAAACTGCGACGAACCCGGGCAGAGCCCAGGCACACTATCTGAATCAGCGATCGCTATTGGCATTGAAATATCTCAGTAAGATAACTCACAAAAGAGCAATGGTGGTTGTTCTGTGTTACCCCGAAAGTGGACGTAGTTCACTGAAACACCCAAAGGTAGCAGCACTGCCTGGATCAATAACCAGAGTCTTTGTAATATGGCCTGAATAGAGAAAATCTCCAACCTACAAAAAATTAAGCTCGTATTCTAAGCTACAGTCTGGCAACAATCACATTGTCGCCGGCCGAGTACTGGGTACAGACAGACAGGGCTGTCCCTAGGGTTGGCGGCGCCCAGAGCAAACGTGGTCGTGGCGCCCCCTCCCCCCCAGTAATAGTCGCATTCGCATATTTTAATACTATGTTAATACAAATAGCCGCTGCGTGGCGCCCCCTCAGCCACAGCGCCCGGGGCAGCTTGCCCCGGTTGCCCCCCCCTTCGGATGGCCCTGCAGACAGACGCAATATTTGGCAGGCGAGCACACTACTGATATAGCAGTAGGCCGCAGTCAACATGTTAATACAGAGTGCATTGACTGGTGTTGGTAGTTCGCAGTTTTGCCAATAGAGTGCGGCAGCTATTGGGGAACATCTCTCGTAAAGGAAAATCACAATAACCAACGTTCCCTGCCCTCCGATTGTTCAAAATACCGGCGCGCTACATTTGTCAGTCTCTGCTATGAGAGATGCCAGCGCTGTAGACGGTCTAACTCACAAGTGTTTAGTTCACTCACAGACTCCGTGGGTAACTTCGTTATCCGCTGCTTTCGTAATTAATTTATATTGGTTTTTTTGTTGTTATAGTATTATAATTATTAAAAAATCAGCTTTGACTTTTGGGGAAAAATATTTTTTAGGTATATGCAGCCATACGGTCAAGGCCATCCGACATATCCGTAGCGCGGCAAGGGTTAAGTTTGCTGAATTTAAACCGTAGTTCAAAAGGGCGATTCAACGGGGGAAGTCAACGATTCTTCTAAACATACTTCTGCACTTTTTACTTGTTTAAAATATTTTAGAAAAAACTGTAAAAAATTCAACTGACAGAACTTGAAAGGAAATAACATTTGAATTTTTATAAAAGGAATAGAGTTCAGTTAGCTTACCTGATAACATTAGTCTTTGTGCTTACCACAAAATACAACACTTATATTTCATCATCACGGACAGTTTTTTAAATGTTATGTAACATTAATAAAATAGGATCCATTTCTTTACATTTGTTCGTGTCTTGTTTACTTAAAATAGGTTCAAATAAAAGACAAAGTATAAATACAATTTATTTACATGAAACGTTATTTCCTAAACTGTTAAGGCCTACTCAGTCAACTAATTATAATTTATACATTGTTTTTAAAGTTTCTGGTGTTATGTGTCTTTTGGCTCTGTTGCCAGGCTAACCAGTGTAAAGCGGTACATTCTGAATGATAATTTTATGATGAAGTAACCCTTTTATCCCTTAGCCTATATATTTATTTTTAAATCACTGAGATGTTTGGCTCGGTTCTATGAATTTACAAAAGTCACAAGAGATTAGTCAAGCGTAACAATATTACAATTAGGCCTAGTAAATAGTTGGCTCTTTAAGCCAACTATATTATACTTACATTTTACATTTTTTATATTATACTTATATTTTTCATTACAAAATTTAAAATTTACAAAAATAGCATATAGTTTTGTATCATATTATCGGATGAAGCATAAGTATTATTGTCGGGCTTATGGTTATCATTCTAAATCAGTAATATATAAAAACACAAGTTGTGTCTATCATAGCTTTTGAATTAGTTCAAAATAGTACCCAAATATATGCACGTTTTTTTTTTAAATAATTTAATTGTGTTAATAAGTGTAAATTAGCTTAATTGAATCTTTTCCAAGTTTCATCAAACCCCTTCAGTTTGAGAACTGAGGAACCACTCCCTTTTCCAACGGCTGTAGCTGTCCATTCCCCTTCTTCTCTATATAATCTGGCAACTGCATCACTCTCTCTGGTTGTACGTAGTCGATGAAAAGTTTCCCGTCCAGGTGGTCTATCTCATGTTGTATGACTCGTGCAACTTCCCCCTCCACTTGACCCTCGTAGATCCGCCCCTCCGCGTCGTACGCTCTGTAGTTGATGCGGTTGAGTCTGAACACTGGTCCGATCACAAGGTCATCCTTGCATTTCAAGGAATAGCAAACCTCGTAGCCTTCATCGAGCACAGCGTCCCGTGGAATTGTGTAAGTCGGGTTGATCCACAACGTCTTCGGCCAAATCTCACCCGGTTCTTTCTGTTCCATGATCTTTTTTAAATCAACTTCGCCCATCGGATCTATGTCGTCTGCTAGGGGTTGACTATGCTCACTCTTAGGCTCGGATTGGTCTCCTTCCACAGGATGTCTCACCTCAAAAATGAATGCTCGTTTGTTTATACCAATTTGGGGAAGGGATAAGCCGTAGGCGTCCTCCATTTTTTCAAATCGCAATCCCAATAGACCAAGATCTTTGAAATCATTCATTGTCAAAGGGAATTGGAATTTCTCTGCTACTTTTCTGAGAGGCGTTTCTTTGTTTTCACTCAAGTCTTGCAGGTCTTCATAAATGAAGTTGGGCACTATTCCACCTTCGGAGTCATCCTCTTGATTTGCCATTTTTGGTTTGTTCGACTAGATGAGGTAGTCAAGAAAGAAAACTAGGTAAAACTAACCCTGCTTGAAAACATCCATACAACTATACTAACTAACTTTACATGACAGTGTTAATAAAAGACTAAAAAGAAAATACATTGTTCCGCATGTTTCTCTATTTTGTAGAACCATTAATCAACTTATCTCGCCAGATACTGCCTAGATTGAGAAATGTGTTTAGAGATAATTTTCTGACTGAACATTTTTGTTTGACTTAGGGTTCTAATTTATGACTCTAAAATTGAGTTAAATTTTGCTATCTTTTGTTAATGTGATCCCATGATAAGAAACACACTTGGTCAAGTATTAAAACGGGAACCTAGATATAAATTTATCCAAGAAAATGTTAGAAAGTAACTTCTTACACATGAAAAACTAGAATTAAAAATTAGAATAAAAACTTTATCACTGTATAATAAGCTATAATAAGATATTTTAAATCTTTATTATTTATCCAAATAAATATTGCTAATTTGCTGTTCAGCCAGTAATTGAGTGTTATTTTATTAAACTAATTTTTGACGAGTGCAAAATATAACACAAAATGAAAAAGCTCTTACTGGAAAATTCACGAACAAAAAATTTATATCAGCCTACTAATTAATGTTCATTAATTAGTCATTATTTATTAAAATGGTAATGCATTTTTTACATCAGCCATATGAACCAGATGTAATTTTGAAAACATCATCAACTACCTATGTCTAATTAAAATGAAATTGTACAGATTATTATTGTAATTGTATACAAAGTCTGGTCTAGTGACGACACTGATTCAGCACTGCATTTGCTCAATACACAATTTGCAGGAAATTGGAGATTATGGACTTATTTTTGAATTTTGATATAGGCTGAATTTATTGTTATTCCTGTAAACTGTTAACAACCACTGAAACCAGAATATTATTTATGAGAAGCTGCTTACTTGTAGTTTCTTACTGATATCTATGATTGCAATTGTGGTGAAATGTGGTTGTACGAATGTTAATTAAGATACCTGGGCTCAATATATCTTGTACCAATCAACTAAATCACGCAAATTTCCTATCGCTGCTCGAACCTTATTCGAATAAACCTAATAACCTCGTCAAAGTGTACAATAATACCTCAGCTGCATACCACAGCCCGCTTTTATGTTTTAATACATTTTATTATTAAATAGTGAACAGAGTGATACTGTACCACATGACCACGACCGACTAATTAATTACTCATCGCCCTTATCTACACCCTTCCTCAACCCCTATTCTTTTATCTACTCATGCTAAATCTACTTATCATCAATCACAGGCTGCTACCACTAGACCACTGATTCCTCGTGGAGCGTGTCTCCTAGCGAAATTAGTTGTGCACGCTCATCTAGCTATTGTGACTGTCACTAGTCATCTCGGTGACATCACACCTACACTCATGGTACATGCACACTCCACTTGTTATAGCAGTGGCGCTACACAATCTCTTGAATATTAAAATCTCATGCCATATCCTATAAGACCCTGTGCATAGGTTGATCCCACTGTACAATATGTACTTTATTTTGGTTGAATACAATTCTATAATTAACTGATTCTACTCCCTAAACCTGTTGATTGTTTACATTGAGAAAACATTTCAATCTATGTTTCAGGTCATATCCAATTGATGTCAACTATAATCAAAGATGAGAGGAAAGTTTTCCGGAAAAGATACGGAGTCCAATTTTTCTTGGATGCGATCCGAATGCATCACGCAACTTCTACCGAAGTTAGCGAAGAGGAGAACAAGACAATTCGAGTATCTCTGTTGGGCCTAATCAAGTTCTATCTTCAGAAGGAGTGCAACATTAAAGAGTTGGCTGCACTTCTAGGGTTTCTGTCAACAGTTAAAGAAGAAGTGGTGGTAATAACATTACTTCAAATACTTTACATGATCCAATGAGATAATAATTTCAAAAATTTTTCTCACTATGAAGATGTTTAAAAAGAAAATTCTTCAAACAAATACTATTGCAGTGTATCAGTGTATTCAATAGCTACTAGGTGCTGGGTGCGCTCAGTTTCTAATTTTATTTTCGATAGTTATATAGTAACAAGACTAGGGCTTAGACTGTTCCCTATCCATAAACTTAATAAATGTCATAGAGTATTAGCATTGACTGTTGGATACTGAAGTAGACATCCCATCTATATGGTCCAGCTGTCGCCAATAAAAAAAAGAACGTAGTTGTGTGAGCCAGTCACAAAATGCGCTAGTGACTAAAACTCTATTTTCTACCTTATTTTTTGTTGCTTGCCAAGTTGATGGGTCATCAGTTGTTATAGCTTACAATAAGTCATTAGTTTGACCAAGCCATGTGTTTAAGGTGTCATACTCTTTGCCTCTCAGGTGATCGAAGTGCTGGAGATGATCATCGCAATGTTGGAGAGCAAGACGTGTAAAGATCAGCTGATTTTGCTGCTGTTTGAGCCACAAGCGGCAGATCTCATCTATTGTTTGTTGCTAAACAAGTCATTCTCCATGGACTTGAAACATAGAGCTCTCAAGGTACTCTAAAACTACTTATACTACTTGTATATGAACAAAATTCTATATCTATAAAAGAGGAAGTATGTATGTATGTATATACCCTATGGACTCCACAACCGCTCAACAGATTGTAATGAAACTTTCAGGCATTATTAAACATTATTCAAGGATGGTTTGCGTGAAGTCTGGTGCCGATCCGTCGAAAGGGCTCCGCCCCAGAGGGTTTCAAGGGGTCCAATGTCAAACTTTTGAAAACCAATGTTTACAAATAAATCTATCTATATTATTAATACGCTACATGAAACTTTGTGAACAATAAGGCTTTTTTGTTTCAAGATTTAACCCCACATATTAAATACCAAAATATTCGTCTAGGTGTGTAGATTTGCAAACTGACCTTTTTACATTTTTAAAAAAGTCGCTTGGGCTCTGCCCCAGTGGCTTTTAATTTTAAAGTTTCCATGTTATCCTTATGAAGAACATGTTTGTTTACATTATGATCAGCTGGATAATTTAATTGCTGGAGGGGGGGGGGGCAATGCCTTAATATTTTTTTCTTTTGTTACTTACACAATCTAACATAAATTATTAAGTTAATAATAATCGTGTAACTCAGGTATTCAAATGCCTCCCAATTTTACCTGCCCAACCCACCACATTCTTCTTTCACTGCCATTAAAAGATGGAACTCCAATAATACTAATACGAAAATCCACCCAAGCTGTGCAATGGAACCAGACTGACAATTTAAAAAAATGACATCAATCTTGATCGAAGCAACAATCATCAGATAAGTCACTAAAGTGGGATATGAGTGAAGGATGAGTGATGAATAGAACTAAAACCTGTCGTGATAGAATAATCTATTGGTAAATAAAATATCTGAAAGTACAAAAAATACACCAAATAACACTTATAATACTATGTTTACATTTATTCTGTTTACTTACAAGACGGTAAATACGTATAATTTACAATAGGCAGACATTCGCCTATTTGACATATTGACATATTTTTTGTGCTTCTAGGTAATTTAATAACACGTACGATGCTGATAAAAAAGTGAATTGTCAATATACTATTAATGTAAAATGTAACATTGTCGGAAATCTTTGTTCCAATTGCAGCTGCTGTCAGTTTTGCTAAGGACAGAGAAGGTTTACGAGCGGAACAAGTCCCGCCTGCGGCTACAGGACAACACTCCCGCAGGACTCTACCCGGGACTCATCTCCATGTTGCCAGAACAACAGCTGTCCATGGAGTTTACAGCTATGCTGCTGGACCAGATACTGCTAACTGGTTGGTTGCTTATCTTGACCTTTTTTGTTGAAAATAGTTTATTGAATGAAAATATAGATGACATACTCAGGGGTGTTCCTGTTTCAAACTGATTCTGCAAAATGGAAAATGGATTTTTGTGAGTAATTTTGGGCGTACAGGGGTAACATTGTAGAATATTGATTATTTTTAATTAAAATTAAATATCAATGACTCCTTCTTAGAGATTTGAATATTCTTTATGAAACTCTCCTGACATTGTTTATTATAGGTAATCTCTTTATAACTTCATAAACAGGAGAAACAATTATCAGGATTAGTTATGTTCAGCATGCAAGTTTATGGCACAAGTACAACCGGTTTCATGCACAAGTTCAAATCATCATAGGCTACAAATATTTTTTTCTTAATGTCAAGAATTAACTTATGTACAAGATACAAGATGTTTGTTTCAATCAAAATACAAACTTAAAAAAATTCAAGTATGAGCCTAATATTTTCATTCAATACAAAGTAAAACATAGAAATATTATTCATAAAAAGATATTCGTTCTTCTGTGGTAGGAACTGTTTCTGTTTTGTATAGATTTACAATTTGTTCCAATTTTCTTTTCCAAGTTTTTGAGAGCTTCAGTTTGGTCATGGCAAGATTATGAATTTGAGGGATTATTACAACAACAATTTTTAATCCCTCTTAGTAAATCACAAATTTTATGTCTTATGTATTTTATGTAATTTTATGTCAAGCTATATGTCTTGTCATGGTTTACCGGACATGACTATGCGTATGACATGAAAAACTTGTTTACTAATTATGACAAAAAATACATGACAGAAAATGTCCACATTAATCCTTCAAATCACTTTGGGAGATAAAACCAAGAACTAAAATCCAGAGGTGGTCAAAACATTATTTAAAAGTCAAAATGAACAATAGCCTACCTATACGAAGTGCATAAGTTTAATACCTGTTATCTTGTCTATGTAGAGGGCAGCAGTAGTTATGCTGGAGCCTTGTCACTGCTACAGGCTCTCTCCCTGGCAGAGTTGGATATTAAACTAGAGGCTGCTCGTAAGCTGCTCACCACCACCTTCATGAGACCTACAGCTCCTGCGGCTTTGGCCAAACAGGTAGATTGAGTCTGGAGAATTGTTTAACTTATATACTGGAGAGAAACTTTTTACTCTACCAGGCTTACTACAGACCTTAACAGTTAAGGCCTGGGAAAGTCAATAAATGTCATAGTTAGCTTGGGGAATTGGTTTACTCTCAGGGAAGTACAGTGGTGTTGTTTAAAAAAAAGGTTATGGACATTGGTGATATAAAAAGGGAATAAAATGTTCCAAAATGATAAAATTTCACCAAGTGAGCAGGCCTTTGATCATGTAAACATTTTTGCTACAAGAAGAAAATTAGTATTTTATAGTGGAACCCCTCAAATCTGACCTCGGCATAACGGACTTCTCGGGATATTCAAACTTAGGTCCCATTAACAGCTTTACATATCTAAACTATAGAGGTGTGTGACTGACTTGATTTTTGAGCCTCGTATTTCCTCACCTGCAGGCTTGAGAGATTAGAAAATCTTGCTCGAGCCGAGCTCTTACAATTGCGATTGCAGAACTCATCTGTAAAGAAAGATTGCATAATCGAACAATTTACACTTTCACTACAATCGCAATTGAGGACAATTAAGTTTCAGTGATCGTGGGAGACTATGATGATTTTTCTATGCTGGGATTTTGTTGTGATCTCGAGAGCAGACAATCCGCCACCTGTTAATTCCGGCGACCTAGGCTTGTGTGAGCAGACCGAATGGTCCCCGGAATAGGTGTGCTAGTTCAGAAAGCAAATACCGGACAAAGTGCAGTCGGAACAGCCACGGTGTGGTGTCTATGGGTGACCCAGACACGACATCATGCGTTGCAACAAGAGCCCGAGAATGGGGATCGACCCAGACTCATGAATTTTCGCCCGTGCCCACGTCAGCGACTTTGGCGAAGCTTTCGTCCCTTAAGGCTGAAAGTCATAGCCGGGTGGTAAAAAGTCACACTCGGTTGGTAAAACACGGTAGGAATTCAGGATTTTGATGTGATAGTGAGAATTGACGATGATGTCAACACAACCCTGTAGGGGTCCAGGATTCTGCCACTATTGCCAATGTTGATGATGATGATCAAACGACCGCCTAAGACGATGATGATTTTTCCAGAAATTTCCTGCGAGCCTAGATGATGATGATTTTTTCATGCACTTGGGAAATGATCACAATATTAACGCAAACTAATTGTGACATTGTTATGCATACATATTGCAGTAGGCCTACAGTATTACAGTAATAGTAAAAATATACGGTATTCAATAAACACAGTTCAGTACATTACTCACATTTTTGCTTAAAGATTTTTTCAAAGTATGTATTAATTTTTACGCATAGCCTAAGTTTCTTTATTTGTGTGTGAAATCAATCAATTTTCTTATTTAAAGAAACACTTTTTAGCTCCCCTTGATATCCGAACAAGCATTTAAATAACTCCCGACTTTTTGCCTAAATAAAAAGATGTAAAAAAATCTGCTTAAGCTCTGTAAAAATTGCTAGTAGGCATAACCTGAAATTGAACTCTCATAATACCCTGGATCTTAGACCTGTAGTTCAAAAGTCAAATATCAACTAGTGTTGATATGTAATGTTTAATAAAATTATAAAGCTATTTTCAATAAGATGTTTTAATGTATGGACTTAAATATTTGTGTTTTCTATTTAGGTTGGTTGGCAAGACTGTATAACCCGTTTGCTGATTAAAAAGCCAATCACAGACGTCTGCAATGAAGTATTTCCGGATATGATGTCGTTTGATGATGAGGAAGAGTTGGCAGACCTGGAGTTAGGACGGGCATCACCCTCTTCTGCATCTCGCATCTCTGACGCTGCTTACGCCATCGAGAGTGAGATAAAGGGTGAGTGGTTAGCAATGAAGTATGTCCTGATTATATTTTGTATGTAGATGACAGGGAGATAAAAGATTATGTTAGTTTATTCTTATTCTTAATGTCATTTCCTAAAAAAACAAATTAAATTTGTTTTTATTGATTGCATGTTCAATGATAGTACTGAAATTTTAATACACAGACAACCTCACCTTACTTATAGCAATGTGTCTTTGTGTTACTAGTTTATTTATGTTTATTCTTTCCCTTCCACTCAATTACTTTACTCACAGTAAAGTTAAAACAAGTTTGTAATATTAGTGACGAAACATTTCTTCAATAACCCTTTTAAACATCTATTTCCCACTTGTACAGAAGTCGCAGAAACTGTAAGCAACGCAGTCGCTGACAACATTCACTATGCAGCGGACAATATCTCTTCTGCAGTCGCATCAGCATACACCGCCTTTCGCCAGAAAACTGTCGAGATGCAGGTTTGTTACTCGACTTGATCAAAGTTGAGTTTTTTTTATTTTTTTCACTTTTAGATTTTTACAATTTTTGTTGTAAAGAACTGAACTAAGTTATTTGTCCCTCCTAACAAAAGTACTAGCTGTTTTAACCCATTCTAATCAAGCAAACCAACCATAATAGCTCAAGTGGTAAGGGAGTTGTTATTTCAGGCTGATAACCTGGATATTACTAGTCTTGGACCAACATAACTTTACTGTAGTCACTACTGACTTACATCCAAGACCTAAACCACCATCAGATCACAAACCAGTAGGCCTTTATTGGCGGACAATTCTTTAAGATTCGTAATTTTTTTAAAAAAGAACAAATATTGACTTATCAGATTTAGACCAACCAGATTGAGGTGAGAATATTTTTTAAACCAAAGTATCCGTTTTTTACATGCTCTGACTGCAAAAACATGTAAATCAAAACAAACACTTCCCTTGACAAAGTTGGCTCAAAACATAATAATAATACATTAACCTGTTTTCTTAGGAGAGCTTGGAAGAGCTGGGTGCCAGGTCGAGGCTGAAGAAGAGAAGTCTTACATCACTGACGGAATTTGTAGAACCAGACAGTCCACAGCCATCTGTCAAGTCACAAAACTTGACATTGTCAGAAGATGGGGTCAGTTTAAGCAACAGGTACGTAATTAAAACTCATATGTTACCAGATATTTGACCAGAAATACTTTTCCTACTTTGATAATGTCTATGTTGTGTTGTTTATGGTTTGATGTTGCATTGCAGTTTGTACATACTATTTGGAAAAAGTTGTAAAATGTTGTTATTTCTCTAATACTTTCATTGATCATCATACCAGGTTTTTGCTCATGAATATTATAAACCTAATATTTTTGATGACACAATATACATTTGCCATTGAATCCCAGGAATAAATAATTCAGCTATGCCTATTTTGTATTTTTATTGTTTTTTCACTCAACTTGAGAACACAAAATTTTAAATTCTAACAGGTTTTGATACAAATACTATATCAATTATGTCAATTATTTAAGATGGGGACAAAAGTAGTACTCAAAAAAGTGGACGTTAATCCACCCCAGGGAGCATCGCATCCAATCTACAGTGCATGCCTATAAATATCCACAATTCATGACCTCCTATTAGCTGGATTACAGTACGACACCACCGTCCTAGTGATGAGACCTATCAGTCTAACACAATACAATATTGGTAATCCCAACACCCAAACATGAAAGTCTAACTTACCAGGTGCAGGACATGCCAGACTTTCAGCTGTGCTTAGTGAAGTTCGTACTAATAATTGTTATTGAATTTTTTTTGTGTTCAATCAACAATCAACAAAATTGGCAAAACCAAATCAAATACATTTTTACACTCCGTAATGGGACAGTCTAAACTCTGGTCTTGTTATCATGCGTCATCAACCTTGCGAGATAACATTAATTGAATGCCAATTACATGGTGCGATCTGAGTCTAGAATCAATCTTGCTTGGAATTAAAGCAGCGACCTTTAAATTTGAAGCGAGCACCATAACCACTCGGGTATATAGAGAATTTTGTTAGGTTTTGTTATAAGTTTGAGTTTGTTCTGTCATTTGGAGCCTAAAAGGTTGAAGTAGTCAGTGACTATGTAGTTTGTAATGTTTGTATATTGTGATGTGTCTCAGGTCAGAGTCCAGCAGCAGTACAGAGGAGTTGTCATCGCCTAGCCACACAGCTGATATCTCCACCAGAGACAGCCTCAGTGTAGCTTCTGTACCTAGTCTCTCTAGTCACATTGTAGATCAGGAGTCAGACGACGAGGAGAAAATACTGTTTGACGCCTTACAGTAAGTAGCTTAAGGTATTGTTCGGTGTGTTACAGTAAGTCAACAATTCATTGAGAAGATTTTTTTTTTTGTCTTTGCCAGTAAGGAAATACTTTGTGAGTGAACTGTTTGTGAATTTGCAAATGAGATGATTGGTATATAAGTATCACCAGAGTCATAAATACTATTCCACATACAGGCAAAATCTGTAAAAATGTGTGTGATGAAAAAGTCATAAAAGTTTGTAAATTGTACTCGCTTAGTATATGATTATTGATTCGTGTGGTATTCCCAGTTTCAAGAAAAAATTATTAAACATGTTGATGTTGGTTTACCTTATGATTGCCAGGTTCTTGAAGAATGTACATGTTTAAAGCCCTGTGTAGGTTTCGCCACAAGTTTGGCATCCGCAGGAGCAGAGTTGGTAATCACATCACTTGAAAAAACAATATGCTACTGTATTTATTTACATTCCGCCGTAAATCGTCTGCCAACCGATAACGTAAAGAAATAGCTTAGTGTTTTTTAGTGTTTTTTTTAAGTGATATGATTACGAACTCTGCTTCCGAGGATGCCACACTTGTGGCAAATGTACTTCTGGCTTTAAAAATCTACAATTTTCAAGAAAATGGCAATCATAAGGTTAACCAACTTAATTGATTATTGATTATCACAAATTAATGAAATCCAATGTTTGCAGACGGTGGAAAGCTTTTGACGCTGAAAAACTTGAAGACAAAGAAGAAGAGTTGTGTTATTTAGTTGCAAACCTTGTCTTCACCATAATGTGGAGAGGAATTGATGTCAACAGTAAAGATGCGTGGAAGGTAAGCAGATATGTAATTTACCTGTGTCAATTTAATTACTGGTTTTTACTTTACCATCTTTAAATATTCATGAAGTCGTAATAGTACAAATATTGTTTCAAGCTACTAAAAGATCTGTTAAAAGTTTAAATTTTAAAATTCGCTACAAATTTATCGTTGCCATAAAAAGTAAAACTTACGTAAAATTAAAATAAACTATATGTAAGTATAAGAAATAATTGGGAATATAACATTTATTTCTACGCTTTTCTGATCATCCTAACTTTGTTTTGGTCATCACACTGGTAACTGAGGTGTTTGTTGGTTTTTGGTTTTTTATGAATTTTTTGCAGCCTATGTAAAATACCCTACTGTGACTTATAGCCGAACCCATTATAATACCTCCTTTCTCACAACCGTCTGCAGGAACGTGGGCAGGTCATGACGTGTATCAACCTGTTGGCTCTCAACAACACACTGTACTGCTCACACCTGGAACTGCGGCTGCGGCTGCTAGAGATGTCTGTGACTGCTGCGTTGAGTGATCTGCGTGAAGGCTCGTACACTGCAGACAACGCAGCACATCTCATCCGCTGGATATACGACCTCACTGTCATCGACCCCAACCAGGACCACAGCAAGAAAGCCTCCACCAAGGTAAACCTTTTGCAGTTTTGTGAAGGCATTTCTTAGCATTTATGGTATATATTTACACCAGTGGCTTTTATCAAAGTTTTTTGTATAGGGATGGTCCACACACCGATCTTGTTAATATCTAAGATCATTAATTGATATAGCAATAACAAATTTCATCTGGGTCTGGTGACAGTTTTGCATGGAATTGAACCAGCAACCTTCAGATTGTAAGACGAGCACTATAACGACTCAGTTACCCAGACTATGCAAAGTTTTAAAAATAAATCTAGCAAGTTCAAAATTAATTGTAAGAACTTGATTTTCAGTTTGGCGCTGTAACATGAATTTCCTTGGATGTTTTGAAAAAAAACCCGATTTTGATTGAAATTCTTCTGTTATGGTCCTTATAATTCTAAACAAAACAGTGCAACCCTTCATTCCTGTAAAAATTACTGTTCAAAATTTAATGAAACTTGTGATTTTACCTATTAAATATCATAGTTACTCTCATCGCTACCCATGAAAAAGGTTTTTGACAAGCTAATGGGAGAAAGTATGTGTCAGATTGCTGATACCGTTTATTATATTTAAATTGATTTGATTGATATATTTTGTAGTATAACATTCTCGGTCTCATATTTTTTTCCTTATTGTAGCTTCTAGATGGTGTACTTGGGTTGTTAGATGCTCTGCTGGTCTTCCAAGAAATCCCTGGAGAAGAATGGACAGAAATGGCCAAATTAGCATTTGGTGAGTATCGACTATTAAATTAACTGTAAAAATATTCTATCTGTAATAAATCTGCCTAGAGTAAATTTATCTTGAACACATAACAAGGGTGTGTATATCGTACTGCTCGATGCATCCTCTTCAAATGGTGAGGTTTTATAGTATGTGATAGCATTTAAGTTCTGTATGTAAACAATTTTGCATCTGTAAGTCTTTGGAAAAAGTGCCCAGCTTGATTGGTGTGCAGCTGATAGACACAGACTCTAAGCTAGGACACTCTTACTCCTTTATCTCTTCGATGTTTGCATTTGTACTCCACATTACATTGTGTCAATTAAATTTACCTTAAATCATTGTGTCCTCCAGTTTTTATGTGGAAGTGTTTGGGTGGCATTCCTATTGATGTTTGCTGTATGTATTGATTGATGTTTGTTTATCATGTTGAGTTGTTTATATTGATTCTTCCTATATTTATTTTTGTAACTTCAGCCAATATTTTGAGTACTCTAATAATGCTAATTATTCTCAATTTCAACTCATTTTGACACATATTACACCCTGGTGTACCATTGCAGGTATCTTGCTCAGTTGTGCTGCCAGTAGCAACCTAGAGCTTTGTGCCATGGCTACTGCCAAACTACACACTCTCGTACAGACAAGATGTATGAAAGATGCAGAAGAAGGTGGCTACTTATTGTACTACATAAACACAATCGTACAACAAACACTGCAAGGTTAGTTATTTCTCAGGTCACAATAGGCTTTTGCTAGCATTTTTTGACATGTTATTTTTTTGAGAATTTCTAGTATCAGTAAAAAATATTGATGAAATCTAGAAATACATAGTAAATTGATTTCTTTCAGTACAGGTAAGAAAACTGTTACTGTGTTAAAAAGCTATATTTCAAGTTTCTACTTGACACTGGCCTTTTAATTCACATGATTCAATCAATCAATCAATCAATCAAATCACTTTATTTGTCCTTGTACATGTCATTACAAGAAATGGCGTCAAATATAAAGCTAAAAAACAATACAATTATAAATTAAAAAAAAAAAAAAACTACCACTACTGCTTCATAATTTTGTTGTATTCATAAAATTCCTCTATTGAGTAAATGGGTTTGTTGATCAAATATATTTTCAATTTACATTTTAGTTTGTTATTATTTTTTTCTGATCTTAGTTCATTCGGAAGTGCTTTAAAGAATTTATTGCCCATGTATGTCGTCTTTTTTTTAAAAAATTCCAATCTATGTTTTTCAAAATGTTTTTCGGTCTGTCTTCTTGTATTATATTGATGACCTATTGGTTGTACATAAGTTTTTGTTATAAAAAATAAGATACATTCAAAAATATACAGACCATACACAGTTAAAATTTTAAGATTTTTGAAGTGTTCTCTTGCGGAGTCATCATCTTCAAGTTTGAGCATACATCTAATTGCTTTTTTCTGTAGGTTTAGAATTGTATTCAGATTATTTATTGTTGTTGCACCATACAAGCCAATTCCATAAGAAATATTAGAGTGAATCAGAGCAAAATATATTTGTTTTAGTACAGGCAATGAGCATAGGCTGGCCATACGCCTTAAGGCGAATAAACCGGAGTTAATTTTTCTCGATATATGTTCGACATGTTTGTCCCAGCATAGGTTTTCATCAATATATAGACCTAAAAATTTAGCCTCATTCACTTGTTCAATAATTTCCTCTTCAATCATTATATTTGGAGATATTTTTTTACGATTTTGCTTTGTGGAAAATGTAATAAATTTAGTTTTATTTGGATTTAACAAAAGACTATTATTATTGAAGTATTGCTTTATATTAGCTAGTTCTATAAAACTTAAATATTCAATTTCATTTTGGTTCTTTGCTGAGATTTTTAAATTTGTGTCGTCTGCATATAAACATAAATTACTATGGGGAACAGTCTGTAGCACTTCAGGAAGTCCGGTTATGTAAGATAAGAACAGCAAAGGACCCAGAATCGATCCCTGTGGGACGCCACATGAGACCAAACATAAGTCCGATGCTGCGCCCGTGATCCTATTTGAAATGGTTTGGTTAATTTCAACATACTGATATCGGTCGGAAAGGTATGACTTAAACCAATTGTATGCAACTCCCTTGACACCAAAGTTCAATAATTTATCAAGTAATAGATGATGATTTACGCTTTCAAAAGCTTTTGTTAAATCCATAAATATGCCCACTACGTTCTCCCCTTTATCTATGGACTCTATGATGGATTCAATAAAAGAAACGGCTGCAGTGAAAACCGATTTTCCGGGCCGAAAACCGTGCTGGGACATATCTAGAATGTTTGAATTTTCTAAGAATTGGGATAATCTTCTGTACATGACTTTTTCATAAATTTTTGAAAAGGATGGCAGAATCGAAATTGGACGATAATTGGACATGTCTTTTGTAGAATCTTTTTTATGTATAGGTACAACTTTGGATATTTTTAATTTTTTTGGAAAAATGCCAGATATTAAAGAAGAGTTCCCAATGCAATATATGTAATAGGAACACAGGGGTAGGTTATTGGTCATAATCTATATGGCTTGACATTACCAATACACTATAAAATCTTTAGAAGAAATAATCGGTAAATGTAAAGGCATGCCTAGTCAGTCTCCACCTCTGAAGAAACAAGATTATCCTCAAATACAAGGTAACCATCTGAGATTTGCTGTGATGAATTTTTGTAAATTATTTAAGAGGGTTCAACTGTTTATCAACGCAAGAACATTTTTTACGTGTTTGTAAAAGAACAGCCCAAACACTTACATTGACCATTTAGATAGCTCCATTAATAGATATAACAAATGGCTAATGAATGAAAAAAATCCTACTTGGGATGGAACCAGTAACCTTCAGATTTGCAATCACTTTATCTACTCGTCCAGACAAAAAATGGTTCTACTTGTGAACATTTCAAATTTAACTTTTAAATTAAGATATTGAATGCCCGTCTTCATACAAGTGTCGATTTCCAGGTTCTAACCAAGAACACTACTCGTTCCTGATGCCTGTAGTCAAAGCTCTGATAGAGAAGCTGTCAGATCTATTGTCCATGGCCAGCTACTTACCTGACTTACCACAGACCATGTCCGGGCCAACGTTCTACGAACACTTCCAAACCTTCTGTCAGGGCGAGCAGTGGACTGCGTTTATGGAGAAACAGGTCAGTTTTGCTCTTGGCTGTAGATATACTGTAGTATAAAAAATAATTACAACTGTTTTCAAAGACATAAAATGCGCATGGTTAGTGTTTTTGATTTCTTATTGAAAGCGTTGACAGCCTCATTCAGCCTTGCATTTGCCCGTCTACATAGGCCTTGGGTCTGTTTGTAGAGGCACGGCCACACTAGCGCGCACGATCGCTATGCAAGACGTCCAGCCTCTCTAAAAATGTATTTCTCCGTTTGAGTTACATAGCTTCGTCCAAATGGAGACCATACCGATGCAGATGGCGACAGATGTATCCCGTTGACGTAGCGTATATTGCCCAAGGAATGTATCTCGGATATACGTCCGCAACAATCGGTCCAGCAGTTGTGTAGTATCTTGATATTGAAGTGCTGCTTTGGTGGTTGGTGTTGAACTTGGTGTTGTTTTTATTTATATCTCCTTCAATAATCCTCTGCAAGTCGTAAAACTTCATATTCCAATCGATAGTACAGTATTCCTGAAATCTACTCAATTGTCTTCACAAAGCTGGTTCATTAAATGGTGAAACTCCCCAAAACTTTCCCGTTCCTTATTTATATCATAGACCCATTTTCTTTTTTTCCTTAATAACAAAAGGAGAAGTAACTCTTAGTCACTAAAGGAATCGTCAGCCCAAGGTACATGCAGAGATCAGCCCAACCACGCATCTCAAGCGATGACATCCTGACAGATACTAGCTAGCTACGTTTATCATTTCCTATCTCCAGTGTGGCCACCCCTGCGAAGTGGGAACGGACGTCCGCTACTTACATATTTTCATCAGCGGCCTAGCGATCGTCCGCGCTAGTGTGGCCGTGCCTTAGACCATATAAAGCAAAGTAACAGTAAGCTGTTAGGTGCAGTATTTAAATAAACTGTACTGATACAATTGATTGAGGGGTCTCAAACTTCCAACATCGTCTTGGATCTGTAGTCCCTCGCGCTGCCGACTGAGCCACCGACTCACAAAGACATTTTCATCTGTTCATTTTTGCTGAGCACACAATTTGTTCGAATTACTACGGAAATGTTTAATACATGCAGTATCACACATGATCATAATTCAAATAATATTTATCATATACATGCCATATTCTTCTTATTCATTGCATATATCATCATATTTATGTCATAAGTTTTAGTTAAAGTAAAAATGAAAACAAACTGATATTTTAGTTGAAATTAATTGTAAATCTGTTTAGTGAAGAAATAAATATACAAATATTGTAGAATAGTACTACATAAGTAACCACAGTAAATCAAATTTAAAAGAATAACAAACAAAACATATTTTATGCTAATTGGGTCAAGGTCAAATAAATTTTTGGTCAAAATTGTACTATTGGGGATATGCCTAGTTTGATTAAAACTAGTATACATTAGGTTATATATTTGATGTACACTAAGTATTATACTCCGTTCACAAAAAAAACAAAAAAAAAAACAATAAAACAGTAGGTGGTTTTAGGAGTAGAAATTTACGCCCACTAATCTACCTTTAAAACGATAGCTCAACAGCTGAGGTTAGCCAAAACGACCAGCTGCAACAAAAGCAAAAATAAGTGGTAGGGGAACTTCCCACTAACCGCCTAAATTTTGTGAGCGGAGTATAATATAGTAATTTGTAGGTCTATTAGTAGAAGTAGTAAGAGTAAGTCCTTAATCTCCAAGCACTGCTAATAAAACTAACATTTGACAAGGATTGCAACTGTTTTCCTTATTATACGTAAAAGTTAAAACTCTAGTACTTGCACCATATGAACACAACAAGGCCTCGTAAAAGAAAATCATAACATTTTTGTCCAATGCTGTTTGGTACATATCGTTGTTTCTATTATTTTCCTTTATTATTTGGTTTGTTACCGGTACCATTGACTATTGGATACTGAAGTAGACTTGCCATCTATATGGACCAGATGTAGCCAATTTTTTATTAAAAAAGAACGTAGTTACGTAGCCAGTCACAGAATGAGCTAGTGTCCAAAATGTTATTTTATACGTTAGTTTTTGTTGCTGTCCAGGTTGATCATAACAGTTGCTACACCTCACCTTAAGTCATTCCCTAAGTTTGACTTGGTAAAAAAGTTTGTGTATTTGACAGAATTTAGTAATTTAGATCAGCACAATCTGTAGGTGGCTCACATCAACTACCACGATTTTGTAAAAAAATCTGGTAACAAATTTAACACGGGTATGGAATGTCTAAAAGCCGGTACTGTAGATTATTTATTTTGCACTCGTGAAAAAAGTAAAAGTAATTAGTTAAAAAAATATCCAATCATTTTCGTGTTAAGTTCTGATTCAGAATTATTTAAGTTTGGAAGAGTCTGATTCCAAAGCGCTTGAAAAAGAAACAGTCTACTGTACTATAAGAGGGTATTTTCATAACGAGTCACAAACAATTTCCTCCCTGTGGATGTTTCTCACGGCTTACATATAATTTGACAACCACAGACAGTCAAGAGTTGTGGGTCAACTCGGGCCGTTTGACTAACATTTTGGCCGGCAGATTATCAGGTATTATGATTGAACCAATCAGCCTCGCCGTTGCCATGTGCTGTACCTTGTTATTTATGACCTATTTCAATGTAATAACCCGTCGGAAAACCAATAAATCATTGGAGATCTTATCCTGCATGATTGTGAACGATGCATTTTGGAATTGAGTGATTATGATTTCGCTTGCAGCTTGTTGTGTTTGTTTTGAATTTACTTCCAATAGAATAAATTTTATTGGTAGATTTTATTGTGCCAATAAAAAATAATGCCCACTAATTTTGTAGATACATTTATTATTTTGGATAAAACCTCCCAGTAGCATCGAGCGATGCTTCTTCAAACTTGTCATATACCAAAATTATGTCGTTTAACATTTTTTTTTTTAATAATGTGATTGATTTAAAAAACCTTTTTTTCAAAATAGCATAGACTAGATCATGAATAATGTAAATTAATGTAATGAATGAAAACCAAAGATGATTTTTAGCTCATTTCATAATGTAATGTGTGGACAAAATTGAAACTTTGCTCCAACTAAAACTATTGTGCTTTAAATCAGCTTGATTAAAAAATTGCCATACATGTTTCTGGATGTTAGTCAAGGTAATACTGACTTGATGGATATGGTTTTCACACAAACATATACAGGAAGTCTTGAAATCTTCCTATAAAACTTGCTATGAAAATAAATTGAGCTTCCGCTTGACTGAAATAAGTATATACAATAATCAAATAAGTAATGTCCTCATCTAAATTACTGATGCTAATAAGCCAAATAGAAAGATACCATTAACATAATGTTTTGATTGAACTATAAAAGCAATCATACACCAAAATATTTCGTGTAATGTATAGTTAAAAAAAAATTGATGCTTAAAATAATTATACAGGAAAACTTAAAATAAGACAACTTTAACTTTTGTGTAAAAAGTCTTTCAGGGAATGTTTGGGTAAAATAAACCCATAAAGTATTTTTCCTACAGTCACCTGACAAAGTTGGCTTCCTTGTACTGTTTATAGTACAGAAAGCTGCTAATTGCTGCATATTTATACTTTGTCGTACGGTTTATACTTTGGCGCACATCAGGATTCCAACAAAACAACACAAAACAGCAAGGTTCTATTATGCACGTAATCCGTGTACGCGTGGAAATAGGTTGGCAACACTTAAAGATAATAATACTATGAGCAGCTGATTGACTATTATAACTACGATTTAACCTGTCATTTCATGTTTATAGTTTATGTTCTCTTTTCGGAATTTCTGAACTTTCTGGACTTTTCTTTTAAAGTTTTAAGCGTTTTTAAAACATTCCAACAATCTTAATAAACAAGAAAATACCTTTAAAACATTTTTTAGGCGCGGAAACCACTGCAAATTACAAAAATATACGGAACTATTTTCTCAAGTCGCAGCACATTGCTTGCCGAGGAAAAAATAGCGTAGTGATACGGACTGGGAACTACTTTCTCTAGGGCGCCTATTTGTGTTGCCAGCTGAACCTAAAAACGTGTTGTATAGTGTTTGAAAGACTAATTATTTGTATGCTTTATAGTGACTGTAGGAAAAATATAATGTGTAACACGAGTGCAAAAGGCCTTTGCTGCACTCGAGATCATTCCGCACTCGCCTGCGGCTCGTGCATAAACGTTGCTCTCGTGTGCAGCAAAGTGCCACTTTGCTCACTAGTTACACAAATAACTATTCGAATTTAATAAAATATCATTTGAATGATTTACAAGTACCTAAAACTAAACAATAGCTTAGTTACAAAAGCTAAGGGATGGACGGGATTGAATTTTTAGTTCGGGACGGGACGGGACGGGATTTTTATTTCCTTCCCGATTTTCGGGACGGGACGGGCCGGAATTTTTTTTCTGTGCATAAAAAGAAAGTACTGTATTGCAGTTACCAAAAAAGACATACAAAATCAATTTTTACCATTTGTGGCACTGATCTATAAAAACCAAAAAATGGGTAAAAATTTACAGGTACCTATAGAAACTTGTGACTCACGGTCACGGAGCGATCGTAGTCATGACTCGCGGTCACGGCGCGATCGTCGGTATGACTCGCTGTCACGGCGCGATCGTCGGTATGACTCCGCGGTCACGGGGTTATCGTCGGTATGACTCGCGGTCACGGCATGATCGTCGGTATGACTCGCGATCACGGCTCAATCGTCAGCATGACTCCGCGGTCACGGCGCGATCGTCGGTTTGACTCGCGGTCACGGCGCGATCGTCGGTATGACTCGCGGTCACGGCGCGATCGTCGGTATGACTCGCGGTCACGGCGCGATCGTCGGTATGACTCGCGGTCACGGCGCGATCGTCGGTATGACTCGCGGTCACGGCGCGATCGTCGGTATGACTCGCGGTCACGGCGCGATCGTCGGTATGACTCGCGGTCACGGCACGATCGTCGGTATGACTCGCGATCACGACTCGATCGTCAGCATGACTCCGCGGTCACGGCGCGATCGTCGGTATGACTCGTGGTCACAACGCAATCGTCGGTAGGACTCCACGGTCACGGCGCGATCGTCGTTATGACTCCGCGGTAACGGCGTGAATGTCGGTAGGACTCCGCTGTCACGTCGTGATCGTCGGTATGACTTGCCATCACGGCATGATCGTCAGTATGACTCCGCGATAACGGCGCGAGCGTCGGTAGGACTCCACGGTCACGGCGCGATCGTCGTTATGACTCCGCGGTCACGGCGCGAACGTCGGTAGGACTCCGCTGTCACGTCGTGATCGTCGGTATGACTTGCCATCACGGCATGATCGTCAGTATGACTCCGCGATAACGGCGCGAGCGTCGGTAGGACTCCGCGGTCACGGCGCGATCGTCGGTATGACTCGCGGTCACGGCGTGTTCGGAGGTATGACTCGTGGTCACAGCCCGATCGTCGTTATGACTCCGCGGTCACTGCGCGATCGTCGGTAGGACTCCGCGGTAACGGCGCGAACGTCGGTAGGACTCCGCTGTCACGTCGTGATCGTCGGTATGACTCGCCATCACGGTGCGATCGTCGGTATGACTCGCGGTCACGGTGTGATCGTAGGTATGACTCGTGGTCAAATCAAATCAAATCAAATCAAATCAAAATCTGCTTTATTTCCAAAAATTTTTTTACAAAATATACATGTACAAAATACGAACAATAGTCCCGCATAGGCCGTAAAAGACCTGTGCGCGGGACGAGCTCTATTACAAATTAGAAATATTCTTAAAAAATTAAAACTAAATTAATCAAAATACTATTTACAACTAAGCTATGAGACAGCTACAGGAACAGTTAATGCTAAATAAAAGGTAGTCGAGTGAATGGAGTTGCAGTTACTGATATATGTACGCTAAATATTGTTTGGTGTATTTGTGTATAATTATTGTTAGGTATTGTATACTGAACCGATAAGTGTCTCAGACTGATCGAGCCCAATCTCCGGCGCGATCGTCGGTATGACTCGCGGTCACGGCATGATCGTCGGTATGACTCGCGATCACGGCTCAATCGTCAGCATGACTCCGCGGTCACGGCACAATCGTCGTCATGACTCGCGGTCACGGCGCGATCGTCGGTATGACTCGCGGTCACAGTGCGATCGTCAGTAGGACTCCGCGGTCACGGCGTGACTGTCGGTATGACTCAGCGGTAACGGCGCGAACGTCGGTAGGACTCCGCTGTCACGTCGTGATCGTCGGTATGACTCGCCATCACGGCGCGATTGTCGGTATGACTCGCGGTAACGGCGCGATCGTTGGTAGGACTCCGCGGTCACGGCGCGATCGTTGGTATGACTCGCGGTAACGGCGCGATCGTTGGTAGGACTCCGCGGTCACGGCGCGATCGTCGGTAGGACTCGCGGTCACGGCGTGATCGTCGGTCTGACTCGTGGTCACAGCGTGATCGTCGGTAGGACTTCGTCTCCTGCGTTCGCGGACCTATCGCTCGCAATAACGGCGTTATCGGCACTCGCGAAGCGGAAAAATCGCCGACGATCGGACCAAATCCCGTCCCGAAAAATTCCCGAGTCAAATGTAATCCCGTCCCGATAATCGGGAATATTTTTTCCCGAAAAATTCTAGAAATTTCGGGACCCGTCCATACAATAGCTTAATCATCATAACTTGTGCATCTTTACGTTACCTGAAGTATAAAGTACTCTTTCTTTCCTAGAGATATAATCATGCAGTGATCCTATGGCTATTTTTCTGTAAAACACTGTTCAAAGCAATTCTAAAAGGTGAATCTTACATGCCTTGTACTACATGAATTTGGTTTTTGTGTAAGCTTAGTTGTTAATTTTCACATACCTTGATACCATCATAGTTATATTTTCATGTAATTATCTATGCCTATATTATTTTTTGAAGATTGATTACTCTACAAAAACATAACATTAGTCAGCTTCCCTGGTTTTATGGAATTTTTTGAGTGTTTAAGTTTAGTATTAGTTTTTATAAGTGTAAAATAACTTTTTATATGAACCTAAGAGCGATGAATCAGAGAGTACAGAATTAAATCCCCCCCATCAATAAAATAAGCAAACTTTTAGTTGCTTTGAAATTAAGGACAAAATAAGGAAATATAAGACAAGTCGCGGGAAACTCAGCACTGTCTTACCGATGATAACACACTGTGGTTGCTAGGAGGTTTCCCGATATGCAGTCCTATCATCCCGTCACTGTACCACTGACTTCGGCTGTAATCATTTCTTCATTGTTTTTCTGTTTGTTTATATTGAAGCACAAACAAAGGATACTCTGATGGTTTAGTTGGTGGTTGTAATTAGGATCCATTGATTGTATTAGTGCAATAAATGAAATGGGATTTCATAAATTAAATTCAACCTGAAAATCTCTTGAAAGCGTTAGTTTGATTTTTTTATGTGGTTTCTTATAAAAAATAATTACCAGTAAATAAAAGGCTACATTATTTACTTACTTACATACTTTTGTTTATTTTACTTTATTTACTAACACTTACTTACTGTTTTAGGTACTATGAATGACTAAGTATTTTCTTTGCTTATTGGGAATAGAATCGATAGTTATAATCTTGCCAAAATATGACAAAATAGTGAAATCGTTGATGTTCAACATAATAGTATATTTCGTACCTAGGGCCAAAAATGAGGTTTTGCCAGCTCGAGATAGTTTTTAAGTTCTCGACAGAACTTAAAACGATGAGAACTGCAAAACCATTTCGGTCCGTGGTACTAACGCAATTTTTCACCACACTATACCCTATTACCACGATTCACAGAAATAATAATGCACACTGATAGTCAACACAACTACAACTTTAAGGTTAGGTAAAAAAATTATATGAGGAATCAGATAAAAATAATAATGAATAGTTGCTAGGCAGCGGTGATAATAAAACCATTATAATGCAATGCTATGGATACTGATTGTGCATTTAATATGCATTTATGTTTTAAGACAATAAGCGTACAGCTGATTTTGCGACCCTAGGGATGACTTGCTCGGTCCCCAAATGACGATAACAGCTGGCATGTGCAGCAAAACGTTACTTTGAGCCACCAATTAACCTATGTAAAACAGCTAAAAACATCATAGTGTGGTGAAAAAGATTTTTGCAACAAAAAAATGGAGGAAACTTTAACACCGAAAATGGCATCTTAATACCTACTTTAATACTATATTCTCAAATGGCAACCATACAAATGTAGGTATTTTTAATAAATTTTGCTACAAGAAATATAAAATAGCGATGCCAATAATAATACTTTTCTTTTTTGGTGGTTGTATCGCAATGACTTAAAAAATAAAATAAAAATAATAATAATAATGCAAGACAGTAGCTTGTTAAATTTGTACTAAGCTATTAATATTTTACCAAAAACACACTTTATTACCCTCTCTATAGCAGTAAACCTAGGTACTCGTTAAACCTAATATCATTTAAATAGATTTAAGGGAGAATCTAATCAGGTAAATGAAAATTCACTTAGTCTGCAGGTTTGTTGTGTTGGGGATATTTAAGTGTTTAAACGGATTGAAAAGGGTAAACATAACAAAACTTTCTTTTAAAATTAATGTAATTTGTCACAATTTGTTAAAAACAAATTACAGTAACAACAAAGCAATATAAAAATAACAAAAAGACAATATTAGAAACAATGCCTATATTGCTATATACAGGAGGTAGTATAAGATAATGGAGTAAGTAGATGAGTCATTGCATGATAGAATTATTATTGTCAAGAACAGAACATACTACTCACTGACTCAACTGATCCTGGCCATCAAGATATGATACAAAGTTTATATTATTAAGTATGCTGCGAGCTGCAATCATAAGTATCTGCAATTTTTATATTCGACTTTAGCTTAACCTTTGTATTACATACTCCACATCCTTTGGCAGACACAAAATTAAGTTTAAGCTAAAACTTAAGTATAAACAAAGTGGCTTTCCAAGCATAAATTAAAATATAAAATCATTCACAAAGTTGTGGTCAAATAGCAAGGAAAAATTAGGTAAAATATTAGACTTGTGACTTAATCTACTTAACTAATATCCATCACTCAATCATTATTTGAGATGCAAATGATTCAGCATATTTCTTCATAAAATTATGATACAGTTAAAAGTTCAACAGTTACAAAAAATTAAACTGAATACTCCATTAGAAATTTGGCTAACAGAGTTTCAGAGAGGTCTTATGATTAATCTTCAAAAGGTTTTCAACAGAAAACCTGTATGAAAATAGAATGCATAAATAAGAATTAAATAGCACAATATAATAATCTATCTAATAAATAACATTTAGTATAAAAGTTTGCAAGCCTAAGCCTAAATATTTACAAAATGCGGAAATAAATAGTGAGAGGTAATCTAGGATTGCATGTTATGGCTACTGCTCTCTGGAAACCGGACTGGCTGTTTGGTTTCGTCTGATTTGCGCCTAGAAGCATTGGTAGATTGAGCATCTACTTGCTGCCGGCCGTAGTTTTGTTGATTCATCGCATCGTAGTAGTTGGCCGGTAAAACCCCAGAAGACACTGAAGATCCAGCATAGTAGCCTTGAGATGGAGTTATACTGAATCCTTCCCTTTGACCGTCCTTCTTCTTCAACTCGTTATCGTAAGGGACAAATCCAAATGTCTGACTCGGTGGTTGGAACGATCCAAATTGGTTTGAACTTCCTTGTGCTTGAGTATTTTGTGTTTCATCTTGTGAAGTTTCTTCATTTTCTTCACCTCCTGGAAATCTGATTGATGTAGACAGTTTTGCAGACTGATCTCTGGTTTTCTCTTCTTGGTTCTTTTGCATGTTGAAGATATTGGCGTTCTGTGAAGCGGATGTTATTATGTCATCCTCTCTGGTAGCCTCTTCATTCTGCTGCTGGTAGTGGTTTTGAGCTATGGAATGGTAGAGTTGTTGGTTCGTAGAAGAGGATAGTGTATCATACACTCCCTTGGTAGGAGCTCCGTAGTTGTCTGTTTGCACTTGGGAGGAGGAGGGATTGTTTTGGTTGCCTTTGTAAACATTGATATAGGAGGTGGCCACTGGGTGGTTGGAAGAAGATGAACCCAATATAGATGGTGCTTTGGGGGCACCGTAAGTCGGTGATGGAATACCGTAAGTTGTTGATGGGACCGGGAAAGATACTGATGGTTTTTTGGCATATGAGTTAAAGGCTGAAGATTGAGATGAAATAGGGCTACCATACGAAGAAGACGGTGTCCCATAGGCTGCGGAAGGTTTGGCAGGAGCTCCGTACAATGGAGACTGAGTGTAACTACTGTATGTACTAGGAGGTCCGTAGTTATCAGAAATACTGATCGGAGCGTCGTAAGTGTTCACCTGGGAATTGTAAGTGTCTGGGATTGAGTAAAGAGGCTTTTTTCTGTAGGGGACTCCATAACTAGTCGAAGGAGGACCGTATCCAGGCTTAGGTGGTCCATAACTGGATTTTATTGAGTTGTGATACTTAGAGTGGTGCTTCCGAGGAGGGCTGTACTGGTAGCCAAAATTGGCTTGAGGTGGGTTTGAGTATTTACGCTTAGGAGGACCGTACACCGGCTTAGGAGCGCCATAAATAGGTTTTGGAATACCATAAGAAGATTTTGGTGGGCCGTAGCGCATTTTTGGTGGTCCATATTTAGGCTTGGGAGGACCATACACTGATTTCGGGGGAGGTCCATAACGAGGCTTGGGCGGTCCGTAAGACTGACGAGGAGAACTGTAGCTGGCCAAGGGATCTCGCCTGGTCCTGATATAATCTCCTTCCGTCACAGTCAGGCATGATACCAACACCAACACTACAGCCAACACGATCTGGAACAAGTAAAACATATAATTAGATTCTATGTTTAGGATTGACTGAACTAGAAAACCCTCATTAAAATAGTATCCCTCATTCAAATTTTTATTAAAACGACCAGAGAAATTTACATTTGTTCAACAATGCCTTAAATTAAAAAAGGTCCATAATTTTAAGCCAATCCTGACGTAATAGTATATTTCGTACCTAGGGCCGAAAACGAGGTTTTGCCGGCTCGAGATAGTTTTTAAGTTCGAGACGAAGTCGAGAACTTAAATCGATCGAGAGCTGCAAAACCATTTTCGGTCCGTGGTACGAACACTATTTTTCACCACACTACTACTATTCACAATAATAATAATGAAAACTGATAGTCAACGCAACTTTAAGGTTATGTGAAGAAGTAATTTCAGGAATCAGCAAAAATAATAATAAACAGTTGCTAGGCAACGGTGAAAGTAAAACAATTCTATTTCAATGCTATGGATGCTGTTAGTCTGGGCGTCGACCCATTGTAATTAACGATGACCTGGAAATTTGGGTGGACAAAGGTTTTTTGACTGATTCTGACTCAGTTTTTTGCGCTGATTACGAATATGCCGGGTGCCACCTTGGCACCCTTGGGCAAACGCCGCCATATTGGAAAAATGGCGACCAAAACTGGTTTTTCGTTAAATACTCGAAAACGGTTAGTTTTAGAGATATTTATGTGGAGACATAAAATGTAGAGCGTAAAAAACTACACAGAAATGATATCAACACTTTTTTTTGTAAACCTCACGGTTTTAGCACAATTTTGTGAAATTGAAGTTATTATTAACATAAAGTTGTAATTTAGTGCCAATACCTATGACATATTACATTCATTGTTCAAAAAACATAATTATATTATGCATTACACATTTGTACAAGAAACCTTTGATTAAAATAATTGTTAGTTTCATCTAACATCCCTCAGTTACCCACCCCGTGGCCATTATGCTATTTCTGTATGCGAGTCTTTGGCGGGCTCGGTGGCGCGCTCAGCCTTCAATAAAGTTTCAAATACAGTTGCGAGAGTTGCTTGTAAGTAGTGTACAAGTGAAATGTAGTTGGATACTTTGGTTGGAAACAAATTACTAAGGTAAATTATCTTAAAATTAGATTTTTATGTTATTGCATTATGTCATTGATTTAACCTGCTTATAAATACCTGCCAACTACATATGCTATTCTAGCTATAGGACTAGATAAATACGATGATACTACTACATAATTTTTACTCTGTTGGGTATTTAATTGACAAGCTGTAATACTAGTTAGTACAAGGTTCTATTATAATATATTATGTATCAATATCGGCCTATACATTAAATTGGCAAATAAAAATTTATCGAATATTAGAACGAATGATTTTCTATTTAAAAGTTTACATAAAAAAAATATATATATATACATGGTGTGGCAAAACTTTACCTTGCTCTTCCCCCCAAATACCACCACCCTGACGAAAAAAACCCAGATCCGGCACAGTATATGTTTGTGGAACGTCTTTATAAAGTTAATGAAGATTCCAATTGATGTGTTTTGTTCTAGATTGGAACAATGAATTGAATACGATAATGACGGAAAATAGAAGTGTATTAGGGGATTAAAACTTACCTCAAAGGGAAAGGAATATTCTTGCTTTTTAACTGCGGAAAAAATGGACAGTTAATAAGTGGAGGCCCTGTAAGAGTCGGATCAGTTAAATCAGCAAGTATTGAACTACAAGATGAGTTGTTCATATACCTGGATGAAAATTTACTCGATTATTTTCATAAATCTTGTGTGTCCTCTTCCTCATAGAAATCAAAGACCCACATTCAGCGTGCATTTAAAACATTAGCCCGTCCGTAGTTCCTCCACCACCCAAGCGTTTGAAAATATCAGATATACAGAGCTTTGATTTTAGACTAAATTGCCTGTACTGTGGTGAAAAATGTTTGAAAATTGATCTAAAACATCCCGACCGATGGCAACCATATTCCCAAATCCGAACTGTTGATAGACCGAACAAGCCCACTCCAAGATGAGTTTTCTAATAAATTCAAGTTAGAATCAATGGCGTAATTGGAGATCTACATGCAGCCGATGCACGTTATCATAGGGATAGTCATAATGTTCTTTTGCACCAAAAACAAAGACCTATAAATTACACAAACACAAATCTTGGTAGTGAAGATACTATTTTGAAATCAATTATTAGTATAATGAAAGAAGGCCCATCACGCGTTTGGAACTCAATAGAGCTGTTTGAGTTTTATAAATCCCAGGGTGGGTCAAACATAATACGTAAAACTCTGGTAAAAAAAATAACAGACATAGTAGGACCTAGCTTGATTGTGTTATCTTCTCCTGGAAATACTAACATAGTTGCGTTTAGAAATCAAATGCCATTTGCGATGAAACTGGCATTATCTGATGAAGATGAAGAATGTAGTTTTGGAAAAGTAAAAAAGAAAATTGAATCAGAAACTACATCACGCACAGTTAACAGAGACAACTATGAAACCAAATTGAATCATGAAAGCCTTGAATCTAATATCAGCAAGATATTGTTGCTATTTTTAAAAGAGCTTGTACTGGTCTACCTTCCTTGATATAGGTAACATTGTTACTTCGATAATGACTAAACAAAACACCACAATTAAAATAGCATTATCATTACTTCTAAATAAGAAGAAACCGATCAATGAACTACCTACACAAATTTGGTGTAACCTGTATATACAGTAATGCTCGGCGGTTTAAAGCATCAGCGGCTGTTGCAGCTACTAAAAATCCAATGTTAAGCGGTATAAGAGACTGCAAAGATGGATTTATACAAGCTGTAAGTGACAAATTCGATACATTCTTATCTACATAGAATTGCTTAATGCTTACGTCAAACCCACAGCATGCCTTTACTTATGACTCAAGCTAAAACCTCGAGCGACTTCTCAGTTATATGCAATAACTCCATTATTTACATTACTTAAATATAAATCTGTAACTTTACCAGTATTTTTATTTTTTCAATCACACCAATAAGTGCTATTGTTGCTTAAAATAAACCGGGAGATTCTCACTGCACCTACAGATTGGGGGAATACGAGAATGTTCAGTGTAAAGGGGCGAGTGTGATGTGTGGGGAGGGGGGGGGGGGGGTTGAAGGCACTAATAACAATTATTTTTTACAAAGGTTACTTGTACAAATGTGGAATGCATAATATAATTATGTTTTTTGAACAATGAATGTAATATGTCATAGGTATTGGCACTAAATTACAACTTTATGTTAATAATAACTTCAATTTCACAAAATTGTGCTAAAACCGTGAGGTTTACAAAAAAAAGTGTTGATATCATTTCTGTGTAGTTTTCTACGCTCTACATTTTATGTCTCCACATAAATATCTCTAAAACTAACCGTTTTCGAGTATTTATCGAAAAACCAGTTTTGGCCGCCATTTTTCCAATATGGCGGCGTTTGCCCAAGGGTGCCAAGGTGGCACCCGGCATATTCGTAATCAGCGCAAAAAACTGAGTCAGAATCAGTCAAAAAACCTTTGTCCACCCAAATTTCCAGGTCCCCCTAGCTGACGCCCAGACTATGTTTGTGTAATTAATATGCAAGCGGACAGCTGATTTTGCGGCCCCGGGATGTAAAAACCTGCTCGGTCCCCAAATTACGATGACAGCTTGCATGGCCAGCAAAACGTAACTTTCAGCCACCAATTAACGTATGTAATACAGCCAAAAACATCATAGTGTGGTGAAAAATATTGTTTACCACAGTGAAAACACCGCCAACTCATTTTACTCCAGGCACACACGTCCAGGTTTATTCACTTGGACTTTCTATCGTGCCGAAATGTGACGCATTAATCCATTAGAATGAAATGCGAGAGCAGAACAAAGACATGCTTTCCTTTTCATCAGTAATTATGAGATCAGGGGTGAGGTGAAAATGTTGACCGTGATGTTCACTCGGCTGTGCGGCTAATCTGTGTCCTGGCAGGTGTACTCTCACTATCCCTTCTGGCTGTAACAGTACCGGCTACACGACGATATGACCCTATCCTACATCGTGGAGATTGTCTTATTACAAGGCTCAATGCTCGAGTTTCCTATCGAGGATCCTAGATATGCTGAAGATTTTTAGCTACGTATTATTTAGACTTAAAGGAAACAGGCATGATCACGGAACTGCTGGCTGTAATAGTACCGGCTACACGACGTCATGAGTGACGAAAATTAGACCCCATCCTAATTTTCTTAGAGAGATTATCTTCTAAAATGCTCAAAGCTCGAGTTTCTAATACAATTCGTCCAACATAAGCTCAAGGCTTTCTTACCATATTGTTTTTAAAGGGAGGAAAAGGTTTTGCCTGTATGATCATGGAGATGATGACTGAAATAGGTTTTTGTAACAGTGCCGGCTACACATGCCTATCCTACATCGATTAGAGATTATCATATTACAAGGCTCGATGCTGGAATTTTTGATGAACCTTTATTTGCTATCTTGTTACAAGAGGCAATGACAAATTCTATCTCACTCGTGATTTGGCTAGTCCTATTTTGTCATCTTAAGTTTTGTCCTCGGTATAATTCTCCAAAACGTACGTTTTTGTCTAATAATGACGCGAAACAAAGCAAACGGCAATCTAGTTACCATACTAGGGTTTAAAATTATCATAATAAATGGAATACACGTGCGTTGACTTGACCTTGCAAATAAAATGCCGACTTAACTGAGACACCAAGGTTGCCCTGCGAGCTATCACGGGATTTATATTCCGGAAACGTAAATAGTTACTGTAGATACTGCTTTTCTTGTAAATCAGTATTCAGTGATGTACCACTTTAACACGCAAATGATAGTTTCGTAACGATCCTAAAAACCCCTGCACTTTCATCATGCAGGAATTTTCTCCTCTCTCCGAAAACTTTATTTGCTCGCCACCACTGACTTCTGATCTACACAAAAAGTCTTATCGCTATCAACCGC